GCAGCTTCTGCCAGGCCTTCTGGCTGTTCTAAGGGGCCACGTATGTTTTGCTCCTAACCCATTTGTGACGTAACGGCTTTCAGGTGATCCAAGTGTTTGTTCTGGACTGTATCATCTACCCAAACCTTGTAAATCACAGGACCTGACCTCGCACCAACCTCGTCTTGTATCCATACAGGGCCATTTCCATGGTTCCGGCACCAATTTCATCCCCCGATTTAAATAGTCTCTCTGAGGAGGTAGTTGGCCAATATTGGCATTCCTGCTGCTATTTCAACCTTCCCTCCCCCGACCCCCACAATGGTCTGGAAATATCAGGTTTAACCTGGTGCGGGGCCTTCTCCTCATCAGCAACTCTGCCACAGCTATCACTGTTGTTGGTGTGGGGTGGTCCTATAATCGAACAGGAACTGGGACAGTTTGGCTGTCTTCTTTAAACCCGTCTTCAACATTTGGACCACTCTTTCCGCTCGACCACTGGACGATGGATGATACGGAGCTGTCCTTCTGTGCCGAATGCCATTGGACTTTAGGAAAGATTCGAATTCCCTGCTGGTAAAGGATATCCCATTCTCCGTGACCAATATATCCGGGAGTTTGTGCATTGCAAACGATGCTTACAGCTTCTCAATCGTCATCCCCGAGTTTGCTAATGAACTTTATGCACATCCGACCACTTTGAATGGGCGTCCAGAATGACCAGGAACATTCAGCCCTTGAAAGGACCGGCACAGTCAACATGCAACCAAGTGCAGGGTTTATCTGGCCATTCCCGTGAATATGGGGCTGCTGCTGGTGGAAATTTTTGTCTTCATTGGCACTCTGTTCACTGCCCCACCAACGCAGCTATGTCGGCATCCAACCCTGGCCACCAGACATAGCTTCTTGCCAGCATCTTCATGTTGGAAATCCCTAGATGGCCCTAGTGGAGTTCAGCCAGCATCTGCTGCCAACCTTTTCTCAGGCCAATCACCCTTGCTCCCCACAGTAATATGCCATTCTCTACGGTGATGTGGTCTCACCAGGTCCAAAAAAGGTTTCAATTCTGGTTGCAATGCCCCTTCTGTTTCCCCCATCACCACCAGCTGTTTCAGTTTTGCTAGGTCCGGATTTTTGTGTGTCCACGGTCAGATATCACTGGAAGGGTATCCAGAAAGTTTAAAAGCAAAACGGACTCTTTCAAGGGAGCCACCACCAGTGGAGTATCTGCCAGTGGGAGGTGGCTCAAGGCATCCATATTAGCTACTTGGCTTCCTGGGTGGTTTTTTTAACTTGTACTTGTACGCGCTGAGAGTAAGGGCCCAACGCTGAATTCTACCAGAAGCTATGGGCAGCACCACCTGGTCTTCCTTCAGTAACCCTAGGAGGGGTTTGTGATCTGTTAAAACAACAAATTCCATTCATAAAGGTTCTGGTGGAACTTCCTCACAAAGATGACCAAACCTTTCTTCTCCATCTGGGCATACTTGCGCTCGGCATCAGCCAAAGTCCGGGAAGCATATGCTATCGCGTGTTTCTCTCCATTTGGCCACTGGTGAGCCAACACCTTAGATGATGATAGCTGCTTTTTCCACTTCCCTAAAGGCTGCTTCTTGGCTTCGTGGCCATTTCCAAGGCTGACCCTTTTTGAACAGCAGGTGTAAGGGTGCTAAGATGAACGCGAGGTTACGTGTGAATTTTCCATAATAATTCACTAACCCAAGGAAAGACCTGAGCTCCAGTACAGACATGGCCCTCCCTTTCTCTTCCAACGGGTGTAACCCAGTTTTGTCAACTCTGTAACCCAAATAGGTCACTTGGGGTGCCTAGAACACACAATTTTCCTATCTAAGGCGTTCACCCGCTTGGGAGAAAGGTTTAAACACCACGTCCAAATTCTCCAAGTGTGTTTTATTGGTCTTCCCTGTTAATAGCATATCATCCAGGTAAATGGCAAGCTGGGGTAGCCCTTGTAAAATGTTCTCCATGGTTCATTGGTAAAGAGCGCAGGGTGATGATACCCCAAATGGCAGTCTTGTATATGATATAAACCCTTATGGGTATTAATTGTAGCATACTTCTGGGACTCCTCATCCAGTCGCAATTGCAGGTAGGTGTGGCTCGCATCCAGCTTTGTAAAAGACAGCCTCCCTGCCAACTTTGCGTACAAGTCCTCTATGTGAGAGATTGGGTATTTATCCAACTGCAAGAAGTGGTTTACTGTTTGTTTAAAATCTCCAAAGCGAACCAAGCCATCAGACTTCACAATCGTATGACCAGAGATGCCCATTCTGCAAACTGCACTGGTTTGATGATTCTGATGCTCTCCAGCCTTCTGATTTCCCATTTGCCCAAAGGCAAATGGCACCAGGTGGGGCTTGCAAAATCTCCAAATTGCGTCCTGGTCAATGTGTAAAGTGGCTTTGGCCCCTTTGATAGTCCCAAGCCCTTCTTGAAAAACTCTTGGGTATTTAACTAGGACTTCACTGAGGCAGCTATTTTCCAACTAAAAATGTTGAGCCAATCAAGGTGAACCTTTCTCAACCATTTCACCCCAACAGGCTTTGGCCCAAGCCTTTCACTACCATCAGTGGTAAGTGCACCAACTGCTTCTCATAGCAGACTGGAAGTGATGTCGTACCCTCAACTTGCAATGGTTCTCCAGTGTACATTCTCTGTCTGGCTGAGGTCTTGCACAAGCTTAAAGATTGGAGTCCTGAGTGAATCTTGTTAAAGTCAGATTCTGCAACCACAGATACAACTGCGCTGGTATCGACCTCGATGGGAACTGGGTGACCATTTAACCAGACATTAGTTTTTAATTGGCTCCGATTTCGGTGTCACTAAGCAACGTGGTCGTTCCAACCCACAACCAGATCCTGAAGATCCTGTTTAGCCACTTGGCCAAGGTTCAGCTTTGTTATGGGGTTCTGCTTCGGGTTGGCCTAGGGTCTCTCTGCTCAGGCCATGCTCTGTGTGAGGCTTTGCAATTGCCTACACTCAAGTGGTGTTCCCCAAGCTCAGTCGGACACGGGAGGGTGTCCACTTCCACTGGGATGCCCTGCAGTTCCCACATTCCACTTGCTGCATTTTCTAATGACTACGCCAGCTGCAGTGTCTGTTTGAAGTCTAGTTAGGCTTCATCTAGTAGGTGCTTCTGCATGGTTATGTCAATAATCCCACATATCAAGTGATCTCTCAGCATCTCATTCAGGGTTAACCCAAAATCACATGCCTCTGACAGTCATCGGAACCTTGTCAAAAATCCTGATACAGATCCCCCTGGTTCTCTAACAGCGTAACAAAACCAATAGCCTCTCAAGATTAGAGGAGGGTTGAGGTCATAATTTTCCTTAATCAACTCTGTTAACTCGGAGGTTTTTGGTGTCCAGTGTCTCTGGGAATGTTACGTCCCTAGTAACTGAAAATGCTGCGGAATCAGAAGGATTACTTGTTGCTTTCCATCTGTCCCAATATCATTTGCCCAGAAAAAATATTGCATTCGTTCCACATACTGAACCCAGTCTTTGGCTGGGTCAAATGAGTCAAGCTGCCCAAATAGAGGCATGATGCCAGAAATGCATACCCCAGCTTTAGAATGACAGTTGCAAGCTAAAGTTCTTCAGGCATGTCCTGTTTTCTCCCGTTGCCACTGAAGTAGCTGCACAGAGGCCGGTGTCCCATCGCCAAGTCACCCTTTATTTACTACTACATAGTACACCGAGTGTGGCCAGCCAGCTCGGAGTCAGTCCCTTCAACTGAGGAGATTCTAATCTCCTGGTTATATTGGTCAGTCAAAGCTTTCCTGCTGGCCCTGGTTAACAACCCCAATTAAGAACCTCATAGTTAACAAGGTCCACCTGGTTTAATCACTACAGTGACCTATTGCAGAAGGTTAGTGTGCAGGTACAGCAAGTAATGTAGGCAAAATATTGCAGACGCTAGAAATCTGAAACAAATACAGAGAATTCTGGAAAACTCAGCAGGTCTGGTAGCATATGTGGACAAGGAAACAGAGTTAACATTTCAAATTCATTTAGAATATAATGTTTTATTGTGAGGGGAATTGAAAAGTAGGGAGCTTATGCTTCAGTTAAATAGAGCATTGGTGAGACATACCTTCTGAATCCAGCATCCCATATGCACAACCTTTAAGTTCTAATTGCAGGAATTTACAATTGCAAAGATTTCCATTATCATAATAAATTTATATTTACAGGTCATAAAGCTACAATAATGATAGAGATTATAGCTAAACAGACCAGAAACAGTTCAATTCTTTGCCTCTTATTAGAGATGCAGACTATCAAACCACCGCTCCTTGACATTCAATGGCGTTCAATGCCCTCCACCACCAATGCTCAGTAGCAACTGTGTGTACTATCTACAAGATGCACTGCGGAAATTCACCAAAGACCCTTAGACAGCACCTTCCAAATCCACAAACACTTTCATCTAGAAGGACACGGGCAGCAGATACATGGGACACTACCACCTGCAAGTTCACTTCAAAGCACGCACCATCCTGACTTGGAAGTATATCAACGTATCTTCACAATCATTCAGTCAAAATCCTGGAATCCCCTCCCTATGGGCATTATGGGTCAATCTACAACACATGGACTGCAGCATTTGACTACCACCTCCACAAGTGCAACTAGGAACAGGCAATAAATGCTTGGTGCAGCTAGTCATGCCAACACCTCATGTTGGCCTAGTGGTATTATTGCTTGACTGTTAATCCAGAGATCCAGGTAATGTTCTGGGGACCTAGGTTCTAATCCCACCAAGGCAAATGGTTGAATTTGAATTCAATAAAAATCTGAAATTAACAGTCCAATGATGACCATCTATCCACTGTTGATGATCAGGAAAAGCCCATCCAGTTCACTCATGTCTGTTAGAGAAAGAAAATATCATCCTTTCCTGGTCTGGCCTATATGCAACTCCAGACACACAGCAATGTGGTTGACACTTATTGCCCAGAGGGCAGTTAAATGCTGGCCTAGCCAGTGAAGCCGTCATCCGGTGAATGACTAAAAAAAAATTTTGGAAAAATGCTAATTACCAAAGCCATATTACCATTAGACTAGGAAAAGGAGGGGAAAAAAATTGAGAAATAAAACAGCCAAGATTTCCTTTTCTTGTCAGCATCGAATGCTGGAAGGGAGATTTAATGAAGACAGAACTACTTTCAGATACAGCGCAGCTGATAGTTAAGTGGTTATGTAGTGACATGATAAACTTGTTTAGGTAGCTATGGTCAATCTCATCATACTCTTAAATGAGAAAAAAGGACAAAAATTGAGGAGGAGGGACTTGGAATGCAAAACTGAATGCAAATAAACGTGACTTAGAGAATAAACTTTAAATATTGAACTGTACCTTGAGGTATTTTGCAGTGACATCAGGGGTTTCATCATAGCCTCCAAATGTATTTGGAAATCCTAAAGTTAAGAAGTACAATGTGCCTATATTAGATACATTTAACCTAAGATCTTGAGCTAGGCATCTCCATTAATTAATTAGCTAAAGCATAAATAACATTGAAAGATGTGTTTTATTTTTCTACTATTCTTCAGTTATGCTACTTCTTTATTGTCACAGTAGATGGTGCATTTTCTAACGGCAGTAAGATTAAAATAGAATAAAGGAAAATTTAACAAGCAGAGATTCTGAATGAGAAAGGACCTTTGCTGATGTTGCGCTCATAAAACATATAAATTATGGACAGTGTACAGCAAGAGTGCTTGCATTTATATAATGTTTTAGCATCTTTCTGGGCAATCTCAAAACATTTTATAACTTTTAAAATTCATTCCCTTGTACTGTGGACCAATTTTACAATCAATTTTGGTGCATCTACAAACAGAAAGTAAATGAGTTAATCTTTTTATGAAGTTAAGGGAGGAAGGTTGACCAGGACATCAGGAAAAAAAAACTCAGCTTTTGCTTCAGTAACACCATTTAGTTTTAGATCGCTGAGCAGAGGGCAGCAACATCTTTGTTTAATGTTTAATTTAAAAGATAGCACCTCTGACATTGTATTCCCTATACTGTATTGAAATGTCAGATTTGATTTTATGTTCCTTAAATCCTTAAGGCAATAATGGAAAGCAACTACTGTTTGTGAAGCCCTTCCAGAAAAATGAGTCACTGACCTTAGGAGAGGAAAGGTAAGAAAATCAGATTGGGTGGGATGATGGGGCTTATCTGTGGGGAAATTAGAAATGGAGCTGTTATATGATTGCAACATCAGCAAAGTTCTTTCTCATCCACAGTCCCAGAATCTCTGCTTGTTAAGTTTTCATTTTGTAGGTGAATGCTGATGACTAGAGAAATCAAGGCTTGGGTCTCAAAAAAAAGGAGGAGGCATATGTCAGTCATACACCGCTAGGATCAAGTGAATCTCTAAAGGAATACAAAAACAGTAGGAGTATACTTAAGAGAAATCAGGATGGCGAAAAGGGAACATGAGATGCCTTGAAAAATAGAATTAAGGAGAATCCAAAGAGATTCCATATATACAACAAAGAGCAAAAGAATAATTAGGGAGGGAAAAGGGCTTTTTAAAGATCAGCGTGGCTGTCTACATGTGGGACCACAGGAGATTGGTGAGGTACTAAAAGACTATTTTGTGTCAATATTTAGTCTGGAGAAGGACATGGAAGCTAGGAAACTTGGAGAAATATAGCGATGTCTTGAAAAGCATTTATATTACAAAAGAGGTGTTACTGGAGGTCTTAAAACGCATAAAGGTAGATTAATATCCCTGGGACCTGATCAGGTATTTCCCAGATAGGCAAGCTAGAGAAGAGATTGCTGAGCCCCTTGCTGAGATATTTTTATCATCGACAGCCACAGGTGAGGTGTCAGAACACTGGAGGTTGGCTACTATGGAACCATTATTTCCGAAAGACTAAGAAAAAGCAAGGTAACTATACACTGTTGAGCCTTATGTCAGTGGTGGGTAAGTTGTTGAGGGGATTCTGAGGGACAGAATTTACATGCATTTGGACTGATTAGGAATAGTCAACATGGCTTTGTGTATGGGTAATAGTGTCCCATTAATTTGATTGTCACTTCTTCAAAAAAAAACTCAAAGAAGATTGATGAAGGCAGAGCTGTAGATGTCATCAATATGGACTTCAGAAAAGCATTTGACAAGGTTCTGCATGTAGACTGGTTAATAAGGTTAGATCACATGGGATCTGGGAGGAGCTAGCCAATTGGATACAAAATTGACTTGAAGGTAGGAGACAGCGGGTGGTGGTAGAGAGTTGCTTTTCGGAGTGGTGGCCTATGACCAGTGTGCCACAAGGATATATAAGTGATTTGGATGTGAATGTAAAATGTACGGTTAGTAAGTTTTCAGATGACACCAAAATAGGTGGTGTAGTGGATAGTGCTTCCCAAAAAGGGAAGCTAGACCTTGATCAGATGTGCCAATGAGCTGATGGGTGGCAGATGAAATTTAACTTAGATAAATATTAGGTGCTGCATTTTGGTAAGGCAAACCAGGGCAGGACTTATACAATTACTGGTACGGTCCTGGGTAGTGTCGCTGAACAAAGAGACTTAAGCATGCAGGTGCACGGTTCCTTGAAAGTGGAGTCACAGGTAGACAGGGTGGTGAAGGCGGCATTTGGCACAATCACCTTCATTGGTCAGAATATTGAGTATAGGAGTTGGGATATCATGTTGCGACTGTACAGGACATTGATTAGGCTACTTTTGGAATACGGTGTTCAACTCTGGTGTCCCTGTTATAGGAAGGATGTAGTCAAACTTGAAAAGGTTTCTGAAAAGATTTACAGGATGTTGCTAGGATCAGAGGGTTTGAGCTACCTTTGAGGCCACCTCAACTGCAGGCAGTTCTGGTCGCTCTTCTACAGGAAGGGTGTTGTTAAACTTGAGCAGGTGCAGAAAAGATTTACAGGGATGTTGCCAGGACTGGAGGGTTTGAGTTATAGGGAGAGGGTGAATAGCCTGGGGCTTTTTTTCCTGGAGCATGAAAGACCAAGGGGTGACCTTCTTAAGGTTCATAAAATCATGAGGGGCATGGGATAGGGTGAATAGCCAAGGTTTTTTCCTAGGGTGGAGGAATCCAACATTAGATTTAAGGTGAAAGGGGAAAGATTTAGAAAAGACCTGAGGGGTACCCTTTTCACACAGAGGGTGGTGCATGTATGGAGTAAACTGCCAGAGGAAGTGGTGGAGGCTGATACAATAACAACATTTAAAAGACACCTGGATGTGTATGTAAATAGGAGGAGGGATATAGGCCAAATGCTGGCAAATGAGACTAGGTTAGATTGGGATATCTGGTCAGCACGGATGTGTTGGACCGAATAGTCTGATTCGGAGCGGTATGACTCTACGTTTGAGGCTACACAAAGGGTATGCTTACCTTAAAGTAATTTGTATATTGAAGTATTTAAAAGCTATCCACCTTCTTTGATCTACAGATCCGTCACATTTGTATATTATAAAGAAAGAATCATGTGGTACTGACCTGCATTAGGATAGCATAAAACATAAGCAGTTGTGCATTTTCCAATAGCTTCTATGAATGGCCTCATTTCCACAGCTCCCAAAGCACAATTTAATCCAATGCTAAAACAAAATATCTCAAATTACTATAAGAAATTGCGTATTGTTTCAGTAGAATTGTAAAAGAGAATAATGTCCTCATTCTCTGCACCAGGCATACACAATTAGATGCAAAATTCATTTTCTACCTTTGCTTATCTTTGCCAAAAAGCCCAAAGATAATTGTAAACATATTTCAATTTTGCAGACTAGGCACATCCTGACAAAAACCCTGAGCTTGCTGACAGTCTTGACTATGCACACATAACAGTAATGTAATTTGTGCAATTCTTCTCCGAATGTGTTAAATTCAGTCAAGACCTTAATGGCTAGAATGGAATTAATATCAATATTCATAAATACTTCAGGTCTTTAGAGGAAAGGTAAGATCCTAATTGTGCGTTGTCATTAGCCTTACCTGTGTGCAGTTAAGTAACAGAGTCAGAATTCACAGCTGCTACTCATTTATACAAGATCATATGGTTTTAATTCCATATTTGCAAAGCAGTAACTGACGTTATTTGTAGAAGAGCTAAAATCCAATCTGTTAAAATACAAATACAGGTTTCTCTGCAACAAAGCCAGTTTTGTGCTTATAAAAGTACTGAAAAAGTCAAGCATTTCTCTGAAAATTGTAGTTATCAACATTTCAAATAAAAATTATTCCTTATTCTTGCCATTCAGAATGACAATGATTTTCAGATTAGGTTGGTGTCATTGCTACAGAACAATAGTGAAGAAATTTACCTCAGAATACAACAGGACCTTGATCAGATGTGCCAATGAGCCGATGGGTGGCAGATGGAGTTTAATTTAGATAAATGTGAGGTGTTTCATCTTAATAAGGCAAACCAGGGCAGGACTTATGCACTTAATGGTATGGCCCTCTAGTAAAGGTAAGGTCACCATTGTTCCAGAGGACCATTGGGGTGCTTTCTCATTACAGACAGGTAATAGTTGGTGGTTTAACCAGAGGGTCACCATGCCTCAGTTGACAGGAGGGATTGAGAAGGAAGGTAATCTCAACCAGTGAGGGAATTGAACCTGTGCTGTTGGCCTCACCCTGCATTACAAACCAGCTGTCATTCACTGAGCAAAATTGATATCTGGGCTAATTAATACAATACAAAGTATCGTACTCATTACTTTACATTCAACAAATGTGAATGCTGCATTCAAGTGGCATTCTTGTTCGAGTTTCATTCTCATCTCAGAGGAGTGTGAACATCTTCGGGTCCAGGTATTCTTTGGTGCATTCTACATGGGTATCCACCTCAACCTCTCATTTCCAGGCTAGTCGCTGCAACTTAATCCACTGTCTTTGTCTTTTTAGCTGAATTCAATACCCCTTTGCACTCTGATACTTTGAATGAATATTCACCGCCAAGATGGGTTTAACAAATGGTTTTGGGTCAAGCATGATGTTGAATTTGAAATTTCAAACCCGAACCCAATCAGTTAGTACAAACTTTCCCACTTCCAGATTAATGAATTTAGTATGGGATAGGTGATCAATCTGCTCACAGTAGACATGTCATTCATTGAAGGCTTTTAACTAGTCTCTGAACTTCCACATTGATAATAATTTATGTTTGTCTAATAATAGATGGTTTCCCACACCTCTGGAAATCTGGCAAGTAAAAAGGGACAAGAAGGATTAAAATCGCTAAGCCAGAATTTTACAGGACAGCTGGTAGACTAAGGGGACAGTACTTCTTGGGGGATGAGTTTCGGGGATGTCAGATCTGGGGTGTTGTTGGGTGTACGAGAGCTAAGTATGAGGTCTGTCAAATAGTTACTCAGGAATTATACTTTGTAAATTATAGTCTAACTTTTCATGAGCGACTTTTTTATTTAGTTTCATCAGAATCCTCTGAAACCTCTGACTTAACTGGAAACTTTCAGAGGGTTCCAGGAGTAGAAGAACTGCCCAGCTTCCTGGGCAATTCCTTCACAGTCTGTTATAACAGGAATTCCGCAGGATCCTTGCGAACACCTCTGGTCTACAATAGAATGATAGCTAGCAGAAAATCCAGGCCAATATTTCATCTAGACTGATTCTGGAAATTGCTTACATATGCAAAGATGCCTAAGAGTACCCATTCTATTTATTTACAAAGACAGAAAGCTCTTGCTGTTTCACAGATTTGCAAAAACATGTAACACTAGCATTTAGAAGACAGCAGCATCCAACAGCTGGCTCTTATCAAATTACAGCCATAACTTTTCAGTCAAACGTGTAAAATATCCTGTCAGTCGTCCACAAATTTTCAAACACTTCATGACACTTGCATATGCAAATGAACTTAAACTGTTAAAATAATGCAAAAACAAAGCCAACTCATACTATTAATTCAGCATTGGGTACACTGATCAAGGATGGCAACACAGTCAAGTATTAAGATCCCCTTTTTGCTCCTTAAAACATTATCCAGTTGAACTATGAATGTTCTTATGTATCATTAAAAATGCATTGGTCAAATTCCATCATGCAGCCCAGGTTAGACAGTTGCTAAATATTCCAGATAGCATGACAGGTGCTTAGGATCATGTTATACTTGAAGTATTTGAACTGCAGCACATATATAAAGTGCCTGACATTACTCTTGGAATATGTTATATACAACAAACTAAATTGAACACTCTCACAGTTTGCCTTATTTTTGTATTCTAATCAAAGCTTGTCAACCTGAAATATTAGCTGATTTTGCTCCACAGATTCTTTCATAAATGGTCATGATTTTTGGTCTTTACTTTTGAACTCAAGTTTACTTAACATCCAAAATGCCTACTCCCCTTTCATTATGTCACTAATTTCCATTGAACAAATTATTTCCTTTGTAAAATATATACTCTTTTGATTCCAGCTTTGCTGACAACTAGTTATCTTACCTCAGTGGCTCTGCATGGGATACACTGATGACAAATGCTTCTCCTGTCTGACCAGAAAGTGTGCGTCCACTCTTATCTACAATTGTTCCAGAAATCTGTTACAAAACAGAACTATGTAACTTAAAAACGAGGTTACTGCCAGGGTGGGGAAAATGTAATTGTCAAGAAAAATAAACAGTATTTCACACTTACAAAGAGAGGTCTCGATTCATATTCTTCCGCAAACAATTGCTGAATAGCAAATAAAGCAGCCTGTGAACAAAATATATGTCATTAGCAAAACAAACTATTTATATTATACTTCTGTGGATTATAACATTTTTAAAGACTTCATAACTTCAAACAGATCCTAGTTGCGTCACTCAGGAATTAAAAGCAGGATAAAAATAAAATTGGATCATAGGAGCAGGATGGCTGACGTTTCGGGCCTAGACCCTTCATCAGAAATGGGGGAGGGGAAGGGGGTTCTGAAATAAATAGGGAGAGAGGGGGAGGCGGATAGAAGATGGATAGAGGAGAAGATAGGTGGAGAGGAAACAGACAGGTCAAAGAGGCGGGGATGGAGCCAGTAAAGGTGAGTGTAGGTGGGGAGGTAGAGAGGAGATAGGTCAGTCCAGGGGGCGGGATGAGGTTAGTAGGTAGGAAATGGGGGTGCGACTTGAGGTGGGAGGGGGGGGATAGGTGGGACGAAGAACAGGTTAGGGAGGCGGGGACCCTGGACCTGTCCGTCCTCCCTGGACTGACCTATCTCCTCCCTACCTACGCTCACCTTTACTGGCTCCATCCCTGCCTCTTTGACCTGTCTGTTTCCTCTTCACCTATCTTCTCCTCTATCCATCTTCTATCTGCCTCCCCCTCTCTCCCTATTTATTTCAGAACCCCCTTCCCCTCCCCCATTTCTGATGAAGGGTCTAGGCCTGAAACGTCAGCCTTCCTGCTCCTATGATGCTGCTTAGCCTGCTGTGTTCATCCAGCTCTACACCTTGTTGTCTCAGATTTTCCAGCATCTGCAGTTCCTACTATCTCTAAAAATAAAATTGCTCCAGCAAATGTCCATTGAGTTGTTGAGTTATAGAAGTTAGAAACAATTCTGAATATCTGCTTAGATCAACAGCAGCATCAAGGGCATTTGCTGGTGCCCCGGGTTAGGAATATAAATTAATTAAGAAAATTAATTAAGACAAGGAACTGGAATTTGTTCATTATCGTAAGAACGTAGAAACAGGAGCTGGAGTAGGCCTTCTGGGTCCCTTGGCTTGTTCCACTATTAGATACAGCATGGCCGATCTGGTTGTGGCATTATCCTTATTTTCGCATCAGCTCTCTACAGCCATTGACTTGGTTGTTTATCAAAAATCTGTATAACTAAGTCTGGAATATATACCTAGCTTCCACTGCCACCTTTGCAAAAGAATTCCAAAGACTAACAATACACTGAGGTAAGGAATTTCATCATCTGTTTTAAATGGCTTTGCTGAAACTGTCTCCAATTTTAGATTCCCCATGACGGAAGACATCCTTTCAGATACACTGTCAACCCCCTTCCCCCCTCAGAATTTAATTTATTAAGGAGATCGTGTCTTCTTCTTCTACACTTACAGTATTAAGCTAACTTGTTCAATTTTTCCTCGTAATACAACCTTCTTTATCAAAACAGTCAGCTTAGTAAATCTTCTCTGAACCATTTTCAATACAAGTATATCCTACCTTAGGTAAGGTGACCAAACTGCACAACTGTGTGATCTCACTAATGCTCTGCACAACTGTTTTTATGCTCCACACCCCTGGGCCCAACAGACCTACCTATTTAATTGCTTAACCTGCATACTAACAATTTAATTCTTCAATTTCATCCATTAAAGGACCAACGCACTCTTTAGCTACTGTTTTCCTTGTAAATATATCTTTGTTGAGAATTATGAATTATCTCCTTAAATGTCTACTACTGCATTTTTACAGTTTTATCTTTTAACTATTTTCCCTGTCCACAACAGTCAACTCTATTAGATACCTTATAATTGCCACTTTTAGACTCACATTTCTTGTCCTCAAATTGAATGCAAAATTTACAATTTTATGAACTCCCTCAACTAGAAAATAATTTATATGAGGTAACCATACCTTCTTGTGAAACATTACCATGACTAATGTAACAAGTTCTATAGTTAGTTCCAGAACGTATTGCTCTAAGAAACTGTTCCCAATAAATTCTGTGAACTCACCCCAAGGATATTTTCAACAATTTTATTCAATGTCAAGAATTAAAATTGCCAACTGTAGCTCTCTTACAAGTCCCCATTATTTCTTGATTTATGTCCTGTCCCACAGTGTGGTTACTGGTAAGGAACTGATAAACCATCCTACCTGTGATTCTTGCCTTTGCTATTTATTATCTCCACCCAGATTAATTGATCCTTTGAACCAAGATAATTTCTCACTACTGTACAGATCTCATCCTTTATTCGCAGAGCAACCACACCTCCTTCTCCTTTCTTCCTGTTCATCTGAAATGTCAAATACCTGTGAATGTTCAGGTCCCTGCCTTGGTCACTTTGCAACCATATCACTGTAATGGTCGTCACATCGTACCATGTACTCATTTATTTCTATTTACATTATCATTCATCCACCATTTTCTAATGCTGTGTGCATCAGCTAAGGAGCTTCTAAGCATGTATTTTCGGCAGGTGCAATACTTGACTTGACTTTACCCATACCACTATCCGGTATTTTTGTCTTATCCACTCTCTTTAACTTTCTAAAACTTGCCTCAAATGAACCCCACCATCCCTCATCCTCTTTAGTTTAAAGTGCTCTCTTTAATCCTAGCTATGTGAAATACCAGGACTTAGTCCCAGTGTAGTTCAGCCAAAATAGATCCAAATGGTACAGCTCACTCCTTCCCCAGTAGTAATGCCAGGGCCCTTGAAATTGAACACGTACTCTAGTGATGCTTGCCTGAAATAACCAATGTAGCAGACATCAAAAACAATACTGTGAAATGAACCACTATAAGAATGTCCAAATAATTAGATTGGTATAAGTGCTAATTTAAAGGCGTCACCTTTGGCTTAGGGGAGCAACACTCATTTCCCAGTCTGCCATTTATGGCTTTGTGCCTTGCTCCAAAAGCTGCAGCACAGATTTTCAGCTGACGCTTTAGTTCAACAATGAGGGATTGCTGTACTATTAGAGAGAGTTTGTTTTGGACAAGTTGTTAAGGTCTACCTCTGGTGGATTAATCACACCATACAAAAAAATAGCTCAATTCAACTGAATAAATTAAGCAACAGCCATTTCACTGGTTCATTATTCACAGCAAAACCTCAACCACAGTCAATGTGCCTCGTTTAAAATTTGAACAAAGCCTTGCAACTAACTGCCAATAATCATTAACTGGAGCATTCTCCACAGCAACATCTCCAAAATCACAGACTGTTTATCAATCAATCAACACTCTCCTCTCAGATAGTATAAGTTACTGTCTTCTCCTTAAGTTGATATTCTTGCTAATTGTCCTGTTGAGTGCAAACCAAAAAGCTTCAACAACAGGTATCTTTTTTCAGCGGTAAATAAGTTCTGATCCAATGACTGCTCAAAAAAACAGGGAAATTCTGGTGGGTGTTGTGGCTAATACTTATCCCTCAACCACACCACCAAAAACAGATTAAATGACAATTTAACTCATTGTCCAACGAACAGCAATGCTGTGTGCATACTGGCTGCCTTGCTTCCCTACATAACAAGTGATTAGTGTTCTTTATTGGCATTGAAGTGCATAGACATGGTAAGGTCACAATATGCATTACATAAGGCAGTTTACAAAAGTAAAAAAGAAAACTGCACTTGTTCCAATAGGACTTCGGAACTGAGCATGTATATTCAAAATAGCAGGATTTAAAACAAAAGCTAATTTTAGTAAATGGCTGTATGATTTCCTTTTTGATAATTTACAAATTGGGTGAGGTTTGGTATATCTGTTACCTTTGCATTTGCTGTATCAAATATGGTCTCCAGCAGGAGGATATCAATACCACCATCAAGCAGGCCTCTGGCCTGTTCTTCATAAGCTTCAACTAACTCCTCGAATGCTGCAAACAGATTAATTGACAGTAAAACTCCACTGGACAATTACAGCTAGGACATTTAGAAGCAAACGATTGGAACCATTTTTCCGCAGTGAAAATTTGGAATTCCCTTCCAAAAGACACTGCATACTGAAACAATTGAAGTTTTCAAGATTGAAAGAATAGATTTCTGTTAGGCAATTCAGTCTGTAACTATAATTGATATAGCTTTTACAAGTTATTGGCTAGCATCTTCCACTTTTCAATAATGTATCTGACAGTCTGCTTCAGGTTAAACAATAAATTCTATCATCTTTTTAAGTAACTCAGAGAGGTGATTCCAGCTACATGATATAAAGCCCTTTGCTGTAGCTCATTATTTTATTTATTATTTATTTCATGGCAACGTGGTACGATCTATATTTTATAATCAGTTACGAAAAGATCAAGAAATAGTAGTAGACCAAATGGCCTCACATGCTTACTCTGCCATTCAATATAGTCATGCTAATCTGCCTAAACTGCACTTTCACACCCATTCTGCAAAACCCTGGATTCCGAGATACCAAAATCTGTCTATTTCAAGTGTAAGAACTCAATGGAGTATCTACAACTCCTGTGCAGATAATTCCAAAGATTCATAAACCTCGGAGTAAACAAATTTCTCATCCTCTCAGAGCTAGATTATTGACCCTTATCCTGTTCTAGATTCCTGAGCCAGGGAAAGCAACTGCACAGCGCCTACCCAATTGAGCATCTTCAGAATATTAAATAAAAATAGAAAGTGCTGGAGAAACATACAAGTCTGCAGAGAGAGGAACAGAGTTAAATTTACAAGTCGAATATGACTCTTCTTCGAAATACCCTGTACACCTGTTAGAATCAAAACTCCATCAACAGATGAATTAAGGTAGGTAGCAATTATGTTTCTCTTCCTGCTCACTTGTGTGAGGGGAAATTAAAGCTATAAATTACTATTCTAACTTCACTACGGTTTCAGGTAGCAAGTATATACAATGTGTAATGTACAACAGCAACCAAATCGAGAGTTCCTAAACATTTCAGCAACACCAGTCTATGAGGCACCTATCTTTAGCAAACATTGGTGTCTTATTATCTCATAAAATTAAGTAAAATGGTTTGTGAATTTCCACTTATTGCTGCTTTTATGTTGTGGCAGTCATAAAAGCCAGATAAAGATCCCTGCATAGAAAACAACTGGGAACAGCCAATTGTGCAACAGCATTTGCAGTTTCAAAATATATTTTTTAATTCAAACTTCTAACAACCAATTTAACAGCTTGAAACCATCCAAAATTTTTCACTGGCACGGATATTATTTCATACTTATATTTCTGTAATCAGGCCTCTCCACAGATGGGGATATTGACAACGTTTTGTTCGTTGGTCCTATTGCACCTGCCACAAATCTTCGGGTACCTGTGACAAATAACATAAGTGAGTAAAACACTGCAAAAACTTTGCAACTATGGCAAACCCTTCCAAAGCACTGTGGTAAGTCCTATAAATATTAAACACTACCAGATGTATAGTATTTATGTAGATACTTGTATTTTCTTCCAATTGAAATTTACAGAGCAACAGGAGTAGGCCATGCACTCATCAATGGATGATTTGTATTCCAAAAATAATTACCAGATTAGCTAAAGATATTAGGGGATATTTTTGCCAATGACAATCAATTGATCTCAGATTCACCACCTCAGGTGTAAAGCTAGGCCACAGCAATCTCTTCCACGTTCAGAATCACTTGCTGTTACCAATAATTGGTTTTAATCCTGGAAAAAAAAACAGCTCTGCCTTATAGAATATGCATTGTTTGTAAAAAAAATATAATTTACATTTATTTATGGATGAGTAGATAACAAATACACTAACCTTTCCATTGAAACAATTCAAGTACATGGCCTGTTACAAATCTGAAAAAAGCAACTTTTGTTTTGCTGGGTCTTTGAGTTGCATTTATAACTTGGGCTTGAAAAATACCTAATTCATGTATACATGTACATAGACTTAGAATTTGGCTTAATCTCATATGATTAAAGTGTTTTGTTTTATATTTGCTTATAAAGACATGTAGATTTGTACTATAGATAGAAATAATGAAATGGTTAAGTTGTTCATTCAAGAATAGCTTAAGTATGACTGTGTACAATTTAGCACACTGTGCTTTTTCGTTTCTGCTAATACTGTGGGATGTGTGCCTCCTATCTGCTAGCATATTGCTATCTGCACACATTGAAACGAGATAGCCAAGATAGATGTGAAGGACAAATACTGATAATAAGCCATGATGGTAAACAGGTTTTAACCGATGTTTTGTAGGAAGTAATTCATTTCTGGAGGAGTCTTATGCACAATAGTACTTGTCATTTCATTAGCAAGGATAGTGCATGTGAGAGGTGATCTGTAAGAGACCTATAGGAGAGCTATCCTTAATTTGTAGAAACAAGATCAAATATTCAATGCAAGTTACACGTCTGCCCTGGAAATAAAACTGCCAAATTGTACTCATTTTTCAGTAAGTCTACCCAAAAGGCACTGCACCTTGTCTGGACTTGATTGAATACACTGGAAGAATTACACTGCAACCAAAGGAAAAATTTTCACCTCCCCTTATGTGGCATGAGCAGTGGTAAGAGTTGGGAAAATATGTTAAATGAAAAAGATAAGATCTCGATGTCAAGGTTGGCTTTTGCGATTTTCCTCTTAAGATTTGAATGGTGATTTCAGAATTCCGCAGTTTACTTGCATCTCACCAAGACCCCAACACACTTTATTTTTACATAACTTCCAATTCTCTTCACCTATCCCCAAAACTAGACTGGGCAAATTCTCAAAATGATGACAGAGCAGGTATCCAGTGCCTGCAGCTCATTGCATGCTTGTCACTACCATCATCCAACTGCTTTTCATGACATCACTGCATGCTCCATGGCTATCATCCTCCTTAATCCTTTGTCCACACAAGTTGGCATCTTCAAATCACTAGCCTCTCCTCATCATCATGGCCGTTATCTGAACAACTGTCACACATCAGACTTTCAAAACTTTATTTTGGAGTTCAGGGAACCCAAGACCTGCATACTTCTGACAGGGATGCACAGATATCTCGTGCATCTGTGCAGGATATATCTTATGGCTCTGAATTTGCTTTTTTAGCACTCGCTAACTTTGCATTTATTTGCACGCTGCCAGTCACAATGGTTTTTGTGACTTTTTAGCACAGAGGAAAAGGCAGGAAGCTTGTCAGGGTGAGGAGCACTAAATAGTCAAGTGGTTGGACATGTCAATGTGCAGCATCAAGCCAGGTTAAAATTGCACCTGTTTGTGCAGCAAACATACTGCAAGAGCTTCAAGCAATGATCATGCTTGAAAGTCAAATGGGGCCATTTCCAATTCATGTGTGTGGGGTGGGGGTGGTTACACATGGTTGTGGTTTTGGCATTGTCAGCAAAGTGCTTGGTTGTCTGTGCAGTTTTGGTTGTGTGCGCAGTTCAAGAATTGGGCCACAGACAGTCTAACAGGTCAAGTGCAAGCAGTCCTGAGATAACAGATACTTCAGTCGGGATTTGGGGAGGGAATGGGGTGTGATGGAACTGACTATAAAAAGTTAGTTATGTTAGTGGGTTGGTTTAGCTGCTGGTTTGTGATGTAGAGTGACACCAACAGCACGTGTTCAGTTTCCACACTGGTGGAAGTTACCATGGAGGACTTGCCTTCTCAACATCTGCCCTCACCTGAGGCATGGTGACCCTCAAGTTAAACCATCACCATCAGTCTCTCTATCTGATGAAAAAGCAGTCCTATGGTCTGGTAAGATTAAAGTGACTTTACCTTTACCATTCAACGTATTCATATATTTCACTGACAGCAATAAAGATGGTCGTCACCTGTTTGCATTCCCACTTCATCAGCTGCTTTTCTGGCCAGTTCTGCTGAGACTTTATTCAGTCGGTAAGCCTGGATGGAAAAAAAATGAATATAACTTTAAAAGCAATCACGAGTATCCTATTACTTTGAGCACATAATAAGCTTATATTTCTGTATTTCCCCATCAGATACCAAAGTGGCCAGTCACTTTAAGTGCAGATTGTTACATATGCTAACAACTGTGCACATAACAATCTGCACTGCAAGGTTTCCCAATTAAGTGAATGACCAGAGAGTGCATTTTTGGAAATCCTGGTTAAGAACTAGATGTTAGGCAGGGCCTTCCCTGGCAGTATCATGATATATGTTCTGTACACTTCAACAAGCAGAAAAACCTAGATTAAACACGCCTTTCAAAATTAGGAATTTTGAATCAGGAAATTAACTACATTAGGAACGTACTGATATCAGCTTAGATGATGTGGTCAAATCATTCTGGGGTTTGACTATACAAACTAACTTAGCATCAGGAATATGACCAACTAGACAAAAATGACAAACTGATATCAACTTCACCTTAAAAACCAACTCTGCAATTGAAATCAAAGCAAAAAAAAAATGTAAATACAAAGTTAGAAGTCAAACAATAAATGTTTTCACAGCATGAACACATCAAGAATATCACTACAGCTGCCTGATAATTCAGGGTCACTTGTTAGAAAGTAGTGCAATTGGAAGCAGCAAGCCTACAATGGAAAATGTTAACTGCCACACCTAGCACTGTATTTATTCATACAGGTTGTGACCATTCCCACCTTCATTGAGTTTAACTGATTTAAAACTAATGAGGCAACAAACTGAACCAAATGATTCTTATTGCAAAATGCATATGTTGTACAAGTATTCAGGGGAGATGATGGTGAAGAAGTAATGTTTCTGGATTAATACTCTAGATTAACATACCAAGGTAAACGTTCTTGGAACATGGGTTCAATCTCACCATAGCTAGTGAAATTTAAATTCAAACAATAAAAACTTGGAATTGAAAAGCGACTAATCAATAATGATAACTAAAAATCTATCACAGATGGTCATAAAACCCACCTAGTTCACTAATGCCCTTTAGGGAAAGGAGTATATCATCTTTGCCTGGTCTAGCGTAAAATATGATGTTAGATTCACAGCACTTTGGTGAACTCTTAACTGCCCTCTATGATGACTAAGCAAACTGCTCAGTTCAAGAGCAATTATGGTTGGGCAGTAAATGCTGGTCTTGCCAACAAAGCCTAAATTCCATGAAAGAATAAAACTAAGTATTTAATAAAGATAGGATTGATATGAACTTCAAAATTCTTCATTATCTGATATGCAACTGAATACCAAACATTAAATATGAGTAATGGACATTTTACTGAGGGACTGAACAACTGCATAATCTATGTGGAACACTGGCCGTATTATTCAGGCAAAAATGGTCAAATAGTTATAAAGGAAAATAAAATGTTAGTTTTATTAGAATTGTTTCAAAGCTGTAACCCAAAGGGCCAACAGACTCAGACACAGATTCCATCAACCTTCTGTTATGTACAAATGCCTGGCATATGTCTGATACCTCCCCATCAGAGAAAATAACAAATACATAGAATAGGAAAACAGCACTCATCTCCAAGTCCATTCCCTCCAATAAACCATACTAATAATCATTTAAGTATCCAAAAAGAGAGGAATGATTAAAAGTATTGGTAAAACATTTATTAAATTTCCTCCAACAAAATGAAAAGAATTCCTGGCCTATTTTTGGGCTGCTGCTTTTGACAACCTCTGACAGAGGTGTAGGAGAAGGTTGGGCAACAATTGAGAAGAATATGTAAAGAAAATATTGACGGAAAAGTGTAACCCCAAACTCTCAAATAAGCCTTAACAATAATGTTACACAAAGCATCCACATTTCTCTGTAAGCTATGTAAGAATCTAGGTCATCCAAACACAGATTATTACAGAAAACAATGTACTTTATTACCATAAAGTCATACATAATATAACTTCTTTGCTATTTTGTCACAGTAACTAAAACACCATTAATTTAAAACTGCAACTGTACACCAAAAGTACTTTTCCATACATGTGAATGATATGTCTTGGAATGCTTGCCCAGGGGAAAAAAAAATGTTTGTGCAAGGTGTGATTAGCTTTTGATCTGTACACTCCTCTCGTTACCTCCCAAGAGTTCTGAAGTTCAACTATCTGGCAACATATCAATTTTAAGTATTATTCTTTCTCCTAATGCAAAACAGTTTGCCTACAAAATAGCACATATTAATAAGATGCATTCTCCTTACATAATTTCTTTGAGTGGAATTCAACATGAGGTAGCAGAAAGATTTCTTACCAAATGTTCCAACTCATAATCCGCCTGCGCGACTCTTGTGCTGCTGAAAGTGTTTGTCTCCACAATATCTGCTCCCGCCAGCAAGTAGTCCTAAAATTTTTTTAAAAATTGCACTTACTTTCCTGGCAAAAAAGGGAATACAATCTACATCATTGAAAATCTTGTCTAAGCTATGCACATCCTTTGTCTTAACCTTACTTTTTTTTATTCATTTGTGAGACATGGGTGACGCTGGCTGGTCAATATTTATTGCCCATGAGAAGATGGTGGTGAGCTCTCTTCTTGAATGGCTGCAGTCCATGTGCCGTAGGTTGACATACAATGGTCCTAGGGAGGGAATTCCAGGGTTTGGACCCAGCAAATGTGAATGAACAATGATATATTTCCAAGGCAGAATGGTGTGTCTATTAGAAGGGAACATGCAGATGGTGGTGCTGCTGCCCTTATCCCAGAGGGAAGTGATCTTGGGGCTGGAAGGTGCTGTCTGAGGATCTTTGATAAGTTAATGCAGTGCATCCTGTAGATAGTACACACTGCTGCTACTGAGCAGTAGAGGAGGGAATGGATGTTCGTAGATGTGGTGCCAATCAAGCCGGATGTTTTCTTCTGGATGGTGTCAAGCTTGAGTGTTGTTGGAGGTGCATCCATCCAGGCAATTGGACAGTATTCCATCACATTTCTGACTTGTGTCTTGTAGATGGTGGACAAGCTTTTGGGAATGAGGGGAGTTACTCGCTGCAGTATTGCTAGACCCTGACTTGGTCTTGAGCCATTGTGTTTATGTGGCGAGTCCAGTTGAGTTTCTAGTAAATGGTAATTCCCAGGGTGTTGATAATGGGATATTCAGTGATGGTAACACCATTGCATGTCAGGGGGCTGAGGTTTGATTTTATTTTTATTATTGGAGACAGTCATTGCTTGGCATTTCTGTGGCACAAATGTTACTTGCCACTTGTCAGTCCAAGCCCGCATATTGTCCAGATTTTGTTGCATTTCATCACAGACTGCTTCAGTATCTGAGGAGTGGCAAATGGTGCTGAACATTGCGCATCGGCAAACATCCCCACTTCTGACCTAATGACAGAAGGAAGGTCACTCTGGAAGCAGCTGAAGTTGGTGAGATTTGGGAAACTACCCTGAGACACTCCTGCAAAGATGTCCTGGAGCAGAGATGACTGACCCTCAACAACCTCAACCGTTTTCCTATGTGCCAGGTATGACTCCAATTAGCGGAGTTTTTCCCACTGAAACCCATTTATTACTATTTTGCTAAGACCTCCTGGATGCAACACTCAATTGAATGCAGCCTTGATGTCAAGGGCTGTCATTCTCACTTGACCTCTGGAATTCAGCGCTTTTGTCCAAGGCTGTAATGAGGTCAGAAGCTGGGTGGCCCTGATAAAACTCAAACTGGGTGACAGTGAGAGGCTATTGCTGAACAGGTGCTGCTTAATAACACTGTTGATGACAACTTCCATCACTTTACTGATGATTGAGAGTAGACTGATGGGGCAGTAATTGGCTGGATTGGATTTGTCCTGCTTGTCATGTACAGGACATACCTGGGCAAATTTCCAATTGTTAGGTAGATGCCAGTTTTGTAACTGTACCAGAACAGCTTGACTAGGGGAGTGGCAAGTTCTGGAGCACAAGTCTTCAAAACTATTTCTGGATGGTTCTCAGGGCCCACAGTCTTTGCAATATCCATTGCCTCCAGCTACTTCTTGCTATCTCAAGGACTGAATCGAATTGGCTAAACACTGGTATCCATGATGCTACGGACTAGCAGAGGAGGCCGAGATGGATCATCCACTCAGTGCTTTTGAATGAAGATTGCTAAGAACTTTTCAGCTTTATCTTTTGCTCTAGTCTATCATCGAAGATGGGGGTATTTATGGAGCCTCCCCCTCTAGTGAGTTTCGGTGTCATGATTTTCAGTGCCAGCTTCTGAGAAGCTAACATTTTCATTTCAATTTTGCGAAGCAAAATGCCACAGTTTAATTATTTTTTCTGCTCACTTTGCTGAATTACTCATTACGTCTTTGAGATTGTGTAGCCTTAATTCAACACCAGTCAGTATTCCATACCTTGTGAATTTTGCAGATAAGGTCAGGTTGTGTTATGCTGAGAAGGTCATTGTTCCCCTTTAAAGGTTTAGGATGGTCTTTGAACTCCTCACCACGATAATCATGTTCATCAAGTTTATGTTGTTGAATCATAGTGCCCATTGCTCCATCCAGCACCATGATGCGTTTTTGTAAAATTGCTTTAAGTTCATCTTGAAGAGAACTCCTCGGTCCTAGAATTAGAATTTAATTTTAAAAAATCATGAACAAGAGAGAATGTATTCTATATTCTTGATTCAAGAAGCTTACAAGGGGCTGCGTTAGGTTGCAATGATAACACATGCTATAAATGTGGACTTACAAAGCACCAGTCTTGACTTTTGAATCATGCAAAACATTTGCAGCCAAAATTAGTGTTTTTGAAGTGTTATGACGCCAGACTAAACACTAACTTCATGTTACAATCCCAGACAAAATCAACGAATTATGATCTAGTTAGGAACAAGTAACTTTTGTTTTTGAAGTTGACTAAAGTTGAGATCCAGGAGACTTATTCAGTGAATAAAGCCACAAGATTTGAAGAAACAACAATACTGTACTATCGAGGTTTAAAAAGTAATACACCGTACAATTAAAGTACAATTTATTTCTAACAGTGGAATTAACATTTAGTAAATATGGATTTAATTGTGATCGAACACCCCTCAGCATTCAAATAACAAATGCAATCAAGGTAGATTTCTCAGCAACTTTCCCCAGGTGTTACTGCCACATTAAGTCACATTAAAATTTACAAGGAATTACAATTCTTCACGTTAGTCAATATGGCCTCGAAATTCCCTCTCAAGAAATGTTCCATCATGGACTGCCTCGATGACTGTCCTGTTCTGGATGGCCATCCTCCTTTCCTGGGTCAATGCTTTGAAAATTACACTCCTGTACTTATTCACAGTGCACAGCAATACGATAATGACTGGGTATTTTTCTGTGATTTTACTGAGAGAAAATTATTTGCCAGGATACCTGTAATAACTTAGCTGCTCATCGTCAGGTAGTGCTGTGGGATTTTTTTTTGTGTCTGCCTGAGATAGCATGTAGGGTCTCAATTTAATGTTTCATTCAAAATACACCTCTGACAATGTGACAATCCCCGAGTATTGCAATGGAGTGTCAGCCTAGATATTTGCCTTCAAAACTCAAGAGTAGGGCTTGAACCCACCAGCTTCTAACTCAGTGACAGCAGCGTTACCAATCAAGTTATAGCTGACACATCAGGGCATAAATGCGGCAAATAGCCTACTTTAGTCTGAGACTCAAGACAGAAAAGGAATGGAAGTCTTTGGTGTGGGAGGAAGGAGTTGGAGAGCCGGGGTGAGGCTGAAGGTATTTACTCGGCCTTCCCACAACTCAATCAACTATGAATTATCCAGAAATCAATGTCAGCCAAAAGACACTTGTGGTTTTGAGGAGGATGTTACAGATTTTTTTGAGAACTGGAGACGAATCCTGTCACTGTATAACTGGAAAAGGTTGCCAAAAGTTAACAATATACAACTATCCATTCAAGAAAAAAACATTTTTAAGCAAACTACCCTGTCCTTCAGGCATCCCAAATGTTATAAACACAAAGGATTTATTTGAGGTGCAGTTACCATTGTTATTCAAGAAAAGTGATAGGTGCATAGGAAAGTCATAAACAGTAAACAGATAGCCAGAGACAAGTTTTGAGAATTATGGTTTTCAGTTCATTGTGGGAACAATATTAGCAAAGCCACGTGTCCATTGTCCAATGTTACCACAGGGTCTTTTATATGAAAACAAAATGATCAGGAAGTTGAGTGGGCCATCTGACCCTTCTTTGAGAAAATCAAAACCAATGTCTTCAGCTCCACTCCGGCTTTCACAGCCCACTGTTATATACCACCTACTTTTCTAATTTCTCACTGTATCGGCATGTTGACTTTATGCAGTTCATATGTAAAAAAAAATCCACAGTCCTTTCAAAACCAACATTTCCTAATCTTGTGCAACTCCAATGATATCCTGTTCTTCTAACTTATTTTTCCAACCTAAGTGGGAAACATCAATTTACCTTCGTGTTTCATCTGACATCTTATTGCCCACTCACCCAACCCATCCATATCATCTGTGGCCTCTTCATCATTGTTTCCCATCCAACTTTGTCTTGTAAACTTGGATATGTTACACACAGCCCCGTCATCTAAGTCATGAATACAGACTATAATTAGCAGAGGCATGCTATTAATTGCTGCTAGCTACATAGGATCATCATAGAATCCCTACAGTGTGGAAACAGGCCATTTGGCGCAACAAGCCCACACCGACCATCAGAGAATCCCACCCAGACCCATCCCCCTATAACTCACCTCATCTACACATCCCTGAACACTACGGGCAATTTAGCACAGCCAATCAACCTAACCTGCACATCTTTGGACTGTGGGAGGAAACCGACGCAGACACGGGGAGAAGCTGGTGGGTTCAAGCCCTACTCTTGAGTTTTGAAGGCAAATATCTAGGCTGACACTCCATTGCAATACTCGGGGATTGTCACATTGTCAGAGGTGTATTTTGAATGAAACATTAAAGTGAGACCCTACATGCTATCTCAGGCAGACACAAAAAAAAGTCATTATACGTGTAACCATACATTAAGATAAATATACACTTTTATACTTGTGTATTGTACTTCTAGAGCCAACTGTGCTATAATTACTGCAACAGAATGACTTGTTTTTTGACATGATATTTTCAATGACCTTAAACCATGTGGACTCACTTTAAAGTCAACCATTTTGCTGATAGCAACGATTACATAAATCGCAATAAAATGTATGATCAGATTTGTGTTACTTTTTCCAAGTGATTTTGCCTGGTGAATAAATATTGGTCATCAAAACGCCTCCGAATTATCCTGGTCTTAGAGACTAGTTGATATGGGAAACAGGTATTGTGTTTAACGTTTCATCTTAAAGACAGGCAGATCCGGCAGTGCAGCAACCGCTCCACACAGCACGAGAAGTGACAGTCCTGATCATCTATGTTCTCTGGACTTGGGGGCTTTCAACTCACAGATTTCAACCTCACGGCGCTGTCACTGAGCTGACTGAAAACTTGGGCAGCAGTGTAGAGTGACTGTCTGTCACATGGGAAACTGCCCCACTTGGGGGATGAGATTGCCCTGGGTGCTCTCACTGACAGCACCTGGCTCTGACATTACCCTGTTCCCGCTTACCGGCTCCCGTCGACCCCGTCCCGAAAGCTGGTGCCATGATGTACCCTTCTCCCGCGAGTCTGGAGACTTTCAACCAGGTCTGGCAAATGCTCAGAGCCCGAGCCCGAGCTCTCGCGATCAGCAGCCACGCGGGAATCTTCCCTCCACTTTCACAAACTCCACTCAAACCAAAACCCTGCCTCCCTTTCACAGACCTACCGCGCACCCCTATTGCGCAGCTGCCAATCTTCAGCTCGCCCCACACCCCCATGCATTAATGCGCAGGCGCTAATACTCCCTCCCCGCCCCAGGCTACCACCTCCCTGTCTACAGCCCCTCCCGCCCATCCCTGTCCCACCCCCGCCCCCCACGCGTCCCGCAGACCGACACAACTGCGCAGGCTCCAATTCTTAAAGCCGTCTCCAGTGTCAGGCGTGGCTGCGCAGGCGCTAACTTCCCGGCTGTTGAGTTATCAGTGCGCAGGCGCTGGTTTTGTTATGGCCCGCCAACTTCAGACGGAATTTTTCTTCTTCCTTTCTTACCGGTTAGGATGTAATGTTGCACCTAATCAAGTTATTATTTATTGATTTCCATATTTCAATGGATTTATCATTTGTAGATTGATAAATTACCTTCCCTGTACCCTCGTGAGCAAATGGTGTGCTATTCTGTGATTAGGGTCACAGCACAGAAAAAAAAGATTCTTTGACTTATTGTATATATACTGACCATCAAGCATCTATCTACCCTTTTTCCAGTACTTGACGTACAACCTTGTACGCCACGGTGTTTCAACTGCTCACCTTAAGTACTTCTTAAATGTCGAGAGTTCCTGCCTCTACCAACCTTTCAGGTGGTGAGTTCAAATCAACCTGTGCAGAGATGTATCACACATAGAATTGGACTCCATATACAAACCCATACAGATCAAAACCGGAAATGACACTACTCACCATAATGGGCCAAACAGTATAAATTCTGATGATATCACCTAGCATGGTGATGAAACATTTGAACGAGAACAAGCCAGCTCAGCGAGCAAGTCAGTCAACAACCTCATGTATCACGCCCCTCTGGAGCAGGTGGGACTTGAACTGGGGCTCCTGGAACAAGTGGGTTGTCTTATGAAGGAAGGCCTGGACCTGATTGGCACTTACAAGAGTGAGCAGTGACTTGATTGTCAAAAATGTTTGGGATATTACAAACTTCGAAGCAGATATGAAAATGATCTTTCCTTTTGTGGATGAGTCCAGAACTAAGTGGACAGATTTTAAAATTAGGGGTCACCCTTTTAGCATAGCATAGAAGTGAATATTTTGCTTCCCAGAAGGTTGAGAGACCTTGAAACTGTCTGCCTCTGAAGGTGAGCTATTGAATATTTTTAAGGCAGAAGTAGATTGTTCCTCTTGCCTAACAAAATAAACTAAGATTATCAGGAATGGATGGGAATATGGAATTCAAAACACAAACAGATCATCCTTGATCTAATTGAATGGCAGAACAGGCTTGAGGGACCAAATGGCCTACTTCTGATCCTAATTTGTATATTTGTATGTTTGTATTTCCTATTTAACTTACAAAAATAACTTACAAGTTACAGGAGATACAATGTTTTACTTGGCCCAGTTGTATTTATATTAAAATTTCAATAAAACTAGATTTGGTGCATTAAATAAAAATTATGAAAATAAGTACTTAGTTTTTTTTTAAAACTAAAATGCAGTATTAATGACAGGACAGGGGATGTGTTGTGGCTGCAGCACATAGGAAATTGCCAGTGTCATAAACAGGATCACATTTGTAGCAGTAGTGTGTGCAGCTTAAGGAGTTTTTGTCAGGGTCATTGAGCCTAAGGTCAAATTACAGACACAGATGCTTACCTTTACAACTGTTTTTTTAACCAAGAGCTTTTGCAATTCCTCAGTCTTCTGGCACCTCCCCTGAGTCTGAAGAAGACTGAAAAATTATGACAGTCACCAAAACAGGCAACCCCCATATTGCAAATAGCTTCCATCCTGGAGTCCATTTGTCCACCAGTCGAAACACAATGCATGACCAAATAAAGAAACTGTTTCTAAGTACAGGGAACATGCCTATATTGGGTCTTTAAAAGTACACCCCTTTATGAGATCGTATTCATAAGTTGGACATTGTAAAATTGGAGACACCCTGCACTGAAATTAGCTCTCAATTCCAAGTTTATTAGCAGAATTTTAATTCCTACAGCTGTCATGATGGGATTTGAACATGTGTCCAGAACATTAGCTTGAGTTTCTGATTTACTAATCCAGTAAAGTTACCACAATACCACTGTCTCCTTCCTTCTCATACTTCTTTCTACTCTCTCCTAGCACTGCTGTAAAAAGGCATAACTGACATAACAAAAGCCCGAAACCTATGGTTTTCCTCGCTTTCTGCTGCTGTGCTGCATAACATCATGGAAAGCTTGGCAAAAACCCAATTCACTTGTGTCAATGGGTTTCTCTACAAAGTGGCAGGAGCAGCTCAGTGAAAATTCCTGGCTTTTCAGTTCAGCTGACAAGGTATGTCATTCACAAATCAGGTCAGAATTCATACAAATTCAACAGTTAATATTTCCATTAATAAATCTTGGTCTTAAACTAATTTTTGTCACTTTATTATATCTTTAATCTTCAGATTGCAGCAAACCATCAGCTACTGTATATACTATGGTATGAAATAAGAGAAGTCAGTTTAGCAAGTGCATATTTTAATAATATTTCAAACATCAGCAGTGGTAAAAATGTCAATTGTTATATTTTACAATAGCTTCATAAAGGAAAATGTATCAAGCCTGTGTTTGTTGAATTCCTTTAATCTTCCTTTTTGTACTGTTACACTTCAAAGACCACCCCAATGACACTATCATTTCACATTAGAGGTATTCAGAATTTTAAAAAGTAATTGATAAGTTGAAGATGATTAATGATCACTAAACATGACAAAAAGGAGTAAAGACTTAAGCTCTGACAGTTTAAATTTAATTACTTTGCACACACGGTGGTGAGTAGTGGGCATAGGCTTTACATGATATTGTGCAGGTGAATACCCTTGGCAGTTTCAAATACGAACCAGATAGAGAAAACTATTAAGGTGGCTGGAGATCCAGAGAGCTATATGTTTTTCTTTGTATTCTGAACTGGCCCAGAATGATATCATCTGATTCTAATTATTCCTGTGACATTTTCTTTGGTAACTCAGGAATGCTTGAGCTGTTCCTTACAAATACTGTAACAGGATCTACAAACTGCTCACAAAAGATCCTGTCAGTAACTTGTGTACAAAGTCAATGTTCAACAAGCAATAGTTAACAAGCAGACTTTAAAACAAAATGAGTTAATCAGATTTTGCAGTGACATGTATGTTTCCAGTACCAAATCCTGATTTTTTTTAAAATTTTTGTATTAAAACATAATTCATACAAGGAGATGGTACTTCCATCAATTTTCCCTGGTGCCACACACAGCTCTGCATCTTTTTTAAAGATCCACATCTAACATTGCATTTAAGGCTATTATTTATTGTTCTATGCTTTTAATTCCTAAAATATCCAGGCTTTGGAAAGAAAGAACAGACTCTGCATCTGAGTCCATTTTTCACAGGTCACTTTCACCATAGAGTGCAGTCGAAAATGAGACATAATCCAGGGCTCCCGGAACGGCATTGGGCCCTCGGTATGGTGGCATGCTGGCAATGCAATATTCAGCCTGCTCGGAGGGCAGCTCTCGACGCAATTCCTCAGCTAGGATGTAAGGCTGTACAGAAAAGAAAAAATATGGTTTTGCTAACATTTGTTCAAAATATTAATGCTTTTTAAACATTTTAGGCATAGACATCTCTCATCTTCCCCTCAGATAAGGGGAAGGCAACATATAAGGAAGGCAACACTTCCTTGTCCTTTGTCAATGTAGTTACGAGTTATCATTTTTCAAAATGAACAGAAAGCCAATATACTTCATGTCAACCCCTCCCCACCATAGAACAATATTTGATCAAGACCTGGAAGGTGATATCTTCTTACTGATATCGACCAGAGGAGACAGTGCATGTACCCTTCTTAGTAAAATCTGAGAAGTTGTGGATGTGTTGAGAAAACTACAGCTTCATGACAAACTTCTATCTTAATAGCTCTTGTTTAAAGCCTGGTATCACATTCCAGGGACTGAAGGTTTGAATTAAATGATCTATTATATGGGGCACTGGGTGGTGGATTCACCAATATTCCTGTTTCATTGCCAAGTTTACGGGCTTTCTAATTGTCAGTGATGGAGGTCAGACCACTGGTGAGTCTTAATAAGAAGTCTTATTACATTATAAGAGGCTGTTTATTCCATGACAGCAATAGGTACAAATTACCTTGACCAACAAATTATCTTGACCAGTTATGCTCGATTATGGAAGATGATCAGAAGTCAGAGATTTTTATCTGTCTATATTGCTTTTCTGCCTGATTCTCAACCAAAAAAACATGACATCAGATTGAGTGGAGCCTACTACAACTTCCAAACTAACTCTTTCAGGACTTTTCATTATCTTGTACATCTCCCTCCATAGTCAACATTTATATCTTAATGAAAATAACCATTTGTACATTTATCATTACTCCATCACACCCCAAGTCACTAACTTCACAACTACAGGCAATCTGGAGGCTGCACATATCTACCAGAATGCATTCGTTTCTAACTTGGAAGATTGGTAAGTCATTGAATTGGGGATTGTTGACCTCGATTCTGATCTTGATTGTTCTCTGAACCTTTCCTCTGCTGGAGGATCTTTTATCTTTTGGATGTCCTTTGTGAAGGATGTCATTCCTGATAAACCCTGCAGTTGGTCCATTACTTTATCTGGAGAACATTTAACCTCTGAACTCCTTTCACAGAGGAACTCTCCTCTGCTAACTCACACAGGCGCACCACAATATAATCTGAAGGACCTTTATCTTGTGCATATCCTTCATGGATGGCTGTGCTGTTACAATAAGTATTTTCTTCCTATCAGCATCCTGGATTTCTGCAACAGGCAGTTGTTTTCTGATTTTAACAGGTATTTGCTTTTTTGCCGTTTTCTGGTTGTTCAGACCAGACGACAACTCCTTGACCGTGTCCTGAATCTGTGGATGTTTGACTGCCTTCCACTGAGTCGTATGAAGCTGATTTCCATCTGTTTCAAACAAATATTTATTCTCAATCTACTGATCTGTCTGAGAGGAAGTAAACAAGCTCCTTCCTTCAGCTTAGTGATTAGGTTGAATATCATTGAATCCCTACAGTGTAGAAGCAGACCATTTGGCTCATCAAATCCACACAGACCCTCCAAAGAACATCCCACTCAGACCCACGCCCTGCATTTCCCGTGGCTAATCCAGCTAGCCTACACATCCCTGCACACTATGAGCAATTTAGCATGGCCAGTCCACATAATCTGCACATCTCTGGATTGTGGGAGGAAACCACAGCACCCAGATGAAAGCCATGCAGACACGGGGATAACGTGCAAACTCCACACAGACAGTTGCCCAAGAGTGGAATCAAACCCAGGTGTCTTGACGCTGAGAGGCAGCAGTGCTAACCACTGAGCCACCATGCCACTCTTTTCAATATTTCCAATCATCTTTTATGGCTATCTTCCTGATGAATGAGACATTTTCAAATCATCAACCATAATATTAGAGGATTGCTGCTTAATTAGCATTCTCTCTCAGTGGCACTGAAAATTCCTCGAAGACACAATGGATTGAAATATTCTTTGGTTATGATACGAATAGAAACCTGTGATTTCCTTCCTAACTGAGGCATTATTATCTATTTGAAGCACCTTTTCTGATGATGGTGGTGCAACCGCCTTAGCCTCTTTGTATGAGTATGCATTAAGCTTTTTGTTCCTCTAATATGGTGTCTTACAGATATAGTATTCTGTTGTAAAAGTCGGGTCATATGAGGTTTCATTGTTCTACTGTTTCATTGTGATGACATTGCCTCTTTGTGTCTGCTGATTAGCTTAATCTCTGCTTTGGCTTGTCATGTGCCTTTTTAGATCATACATGCCTCATGAAATGAATAGGTCCTGTTGTTCTCCTGAGGTAGGGCTGACCATCTCCTCTCATAATGATCTATTTGTTTAGATGCTACTTCCAGCGTGATTCGAATGGCTTTGTCCAAAGTTAAAATCTTCCTAAGACTGTAAGAAATCTGAAATATTCCACCAACAATTCTGTCTCTTATGGATTCTGATTTCAAATTCTGTAGTTACAATTTTCCACTTCAGAGATCTTTAGAGATCATTAATATGATCTGATGCTGATGCTGAACTCTTCTGTTGAATCTTACCCTTTCAATACTTTTCTTTGTTCGCAGATTGAAGTAATTATCAAAACTTGTTAGAACTTCACTAACAGAATATGTGCCGTTCCTGAAATTTTATTGATTTATATCATCTCTAGTATATAGTATATATTACAATTCAATCAAATTGTGAATTAATTGTTCAGCTTCAAACTGGCTGTTTAATTCTCAAGCAATAATGTACCTCATAAACCAGTCTCTCCAAGTTGTTCAATATTGTGCGCTGCTTGGTCCATCTCTGACAATAAAACTTTTTTTGAAATATTATTTCTCCCTCCATGTCTTCTTAAAGTATTTATTTATTGTAATTTCTTTTTAAGCTGTTTTCAGTCTTTAGTGCTGCAACACTGTTTGCAAGCTTCTGTCTTCAAGCTTGTATTTTTATATTAAATCAATGCTGTTTAAAAATTCTGTTGGTTTAAAAGCTTGAATAATTTTGTATTTAAAAACCTCCAGCCTTTTTATAATCTATACCCTGTAATGTTCTGAGTTATGGCAATACTATATGAAATTCTTTAATGAAGCTTTAAATTCAGTGAATTAGCAAACTCTATTGTATGATTTATTAAGCTATAAATTGTGTTTAATAGTAATGATCAAAATGGTAGTTTTCTGCCTCCCGAGTGTTTTCCCATCCTTTGCATCCAAAGAATTGTCAACAACAGTACTTCCATGCAGCAGCTGCTCAGCAATAACCTGCTCACTAATGTCTAGTTTGGGTTCTGCCAGCTCATGACCTCATTACACCCTTGGTTCAAACATGGACAAAAGAGCCGAATTCCAGAGGTGAGGCGAGTGACAGCCCTTGACATCAAGGCTGCATTCGACTGAGTGTGGCATCAAGGAGTCCTGGCAAAACTGGAATCGATGGATATCAGGGGTAAACTCTCCTGGTACATTGGAAAGTTGTGTCATCTCAGCTCCAAGACATGTCTGCAGGAATTCCTCAGGGTAGTAACTTAGGCCCAACCATCTTCAACTGCTTCATCAAGACCTTCCCTCCGTCATAAGGTCAGAAGTGGAGATGTTCACTAATTGCACAATGTTAGGCACCATTCACAACTCCACAGATACTGAAGCAGCCATGTTCAAATGCAATAAAATCTGGACAGTAGATAGTAGGAACTGCAGATGCTGGAGAATCTGAGATAACAAGGTGTAGAGCTGGATGAACACAGCAGGCCAAGCAGCATCAGAGGAGCAGGAAAGCTGACGTTTCGGGCTTAGACCCTTCTTCAGAAATGGGGGAGGGGAAGGGAGTTCTGAAATAAATACAGAGAGAGGGGGAGGTGGATAGAAGATGGATAGAGGAGAAGATAGGTGGAGAGGAGACAGACAGGTCAAAGAGGTGGGGATGGAGCCAGTAAAGGTGAGTGTAGGTGGGGAGTTAGGGAGGGGATAGGTCAGTCCAGGCAGGACGGACAGGTCAAGGGGGCGGGAAGAAGCGAGCAGATAGGAGATGGGGCTGGGGCTTGAGGTGGGAGGAGGGGATAGGTGGGAGGAAGGACAGGTTAGGGAGGCGGGGACAAGTTGGGCTGGTTTTGGGAATGCGGTAGGGGGAGGGGAGATTTTGAAGCTTGTGAAGTCCATTGATACTATTGGGCTGCAGGGTTCCCAAGCAAAATATGACGTGCTGTTCCTGCAACCTTCGGGTGGCATCGTTGTGGCACTGCAGGAGGCCCAGGATGGACATGTCGTCTGAGGAATGGGAGGGGGAGTTGAAATGGTTCGCGACTGGGAGGTGCAGTTGTTTAGTGCGAACCGAGCGTAGGTGTTCTGCAAAGCGGTCCCCGAGCCTCCGTTTGGTTTCCCCGATGTAGAGGAGGGCACAACGGGAACAGCAGATACAGTATACCACATTAGCAGATGTGCAGGTGAACATCTGCTTGATGTGGAAAGTCTTCTTGGAGCCTGGGATGGGGGTGAGGGAGGAGGTATGGGGGCAGGTGTAGCACTTCCTGCAGTTGCAGGGAAAAGTGCCGGATGTGGTGGGGCTGAAGGGGAGTGTGGAGCGGACAAGGGAGTCACGGAGAGAGTGGTCCCTCCGGAAAGCAGATAAGGGTGGGGAGGGAAAAATGTCTTTGGTGGTGGAGTCGGATTGCAGATGGCGGAAGTGTCGGAGGATGATGCGTTGGATGCAGAGGTTGGTGGGGTGGTACGTGAGGACGAGGGGGATTCTGTTTTGGTTGTTATTGCGGGGAGAGAGTGTGAGGGATGAGTTGCGGGAAATGCGGGAGACACGGTCGAGGCATTCTTGACCACTGAGGTGGGGGGAAATTGCGGTCCTTGAAAAACAAGGACATCTGAGATGTTCGGGATTGGAATACCTCAACCTGGGAGCAGATGTGGCGGAGGTGAAGGAATTGGGAATAGGGGATGGCATTGACCAAATTAGGAAGGCCTAAATGTGGACTGTAGTCCATTGGGGATGATCCGGTTCCATAGCCTCTATGCCATCCCCTATTCCCAATTCATTCGCCTCCGCGCATCTGCTCCCAGGATGAGGCATTCCACTCCCGAACATCTCAGGTGTCTTCATTTTTCAAGGACCGCAACTTCCCTCCCCTCAGTGGTCGAGAACACCCTCGACCGTGTCTCCCGCATTTCCCGCAACTCATCCCTCACATCCCCTCCCCGCAATAACAACCAAAACAGAATCCCCCTCGTCCTCACGTACCACCCCACCAACGCATCATCCTCCGACACTTCCGCCATCTGCAATCCGACCCCACCACCAAAGACATTTTTCCCTCCCCACCCTTATCTGCTTTCCGGAGGGACCACTCTCTCCATGACTCCCTTGTCCGCTCCACACTCCCCTCCAGCCCCACCACACCTAACACTTTTCCCTGCAACCGCAGGAAGTGCTACACCTGCCCCCATACCTCCCCCCTCGTCCCCATCCCAGGCCCCAAGAAGACCTTCCACATCAAGCAGATGTTCACCTGCACATCTGCCAATGTGGTATACCATTTCCGCTGTACCCGTTGTGGCCTCCTTTACATCGGGGAAACCAAGCGGAGGCTTGGAGACCACTTTGCGGAACACCTACGCTCGGTTCGCACTAAACAACTGCACCTCCCAGTCGCGAACCATTTCAACTCCCCCTCCCATTTCTCAGACGACATATCCATCCTGGGCCTCCTGCAGTGCCACAATGATGCCACCCGAAGGTTGCAGGAACAGCACGTCATATTCCGCTTGGGAACCCTGCAGCCCAATGGTATCAATGTGGACTTCACAAGCTTCAAAATCTCCCCTCCCCCTACCGCATCCCAAAACCAGCCCAGCTTGTCCCTGCCTCCCTAACCTGTCCTTCCTCCCACCTATCCCCTCCTCCCACCTTAAGCCCCACCCCCATCTCCGACCTACTAGCCTCATCCGGCCCCCTTGACCTGTCCGTCCTCCCTGGACTGACCCATCTCCTCCCTACCTCCCCACCTACACTCACCTTTACTGGCTCCATCTCCGCCTCTTTGACCTGTCTGTCTCCTCTCCACCTATCTTCTCCTCTATCCATCTTCTATCCGCATCCTCCTCTCTCCCTATTTATTTCAGAACCCCATTCCCCTCCCCCATTTCTGAAGAAGGGTCTAGGCCCGAAACGTCAGCTTTCCTGCTCCTCTGATGCTGCTTGGCCTGCTATGTTCATCCAGCTCTATACCTTGTTATCTCAAAATCTGGACAATATCCAGGTTTGGGCTGACAAGTGGCAAGTAACATTCACACCACACAAATGCCAGGCAATGAACATCTCCAATGTGAGACAATCTAACCACATCACTGAATCCACCACTATCAACATCCTGGGGGTTACCATTGTTGAGAAACTTAACTGGACTCATCACAAACATAGTATTACAAGAATCAGTCAGAGGCTAGGAATACTGTGGTGAGTAACTCACCTCCCAACTTTCCAAAGCCTGGCCACCATCTACAAGACATAAGTCAGGAGTGTGACGGAATACTCCCCACTTGCCTGGATGGGTGCAGCTCTATTAACATTCAAGATTGACACTACCCAGGAAACAGGAGCTTGCTTGATTGGAACCACATCTACGTCCATTACTCCCTCCATCACTGATGCTCAGTTAACTGCATACTATCTACAAGATGCACTGCAGAAATTCATCAAAGATCCTTAGACTGTACCTTGCAAACCCACAGTCACTTTCATCTAGAGGGACAAGGGCAGCAGATACATGGGAGCACCACCATCTGCATGTTCCCCTCCAAGCCACCCAATCTCCTGACTTGGAAATATATTGCCATTCTTTCACTCTCATTGTGTCAAAATCCTGGAACTCTCTCCCGAAGGGCACTGTGGGTCAACCTACAGCACCTGGATTGCAGTAGTTCAAGAAGGCAGCTCACCACCATCTCCTCAAGCGTAACTAGGATGGGCAATAAATGCTAGCCAACCAGTGATGACCACATCCCATGAATGGATGTTTTAAAAAAGGAATTTTGTTTCTTCATACGCAAAATAGATGCTTTCCAGCCTTCCATGGCCCAAAACCCAATGCCTGTCCCCTTATGCAATTTTTAAAATAAACTTCAGATTGTGTGGTGCTATACATCTTCGTAATGAAGTTGAGGTTTAAATTTTCTATCCCAATCTTGTAATTAGAGGTTTAAGATTCTTCTAAGTTTCTTCTTGTTGGACACTTTCTGAAATCTTTTAAATTTGCCTCGTCTCCAATGCAGCTTCAGCAGTAATTCTATTGCAAACCATTACCTTATACAACATGATCAATAGCTAGTTAGCTGCAAGAATTATCTTTCATTATACTGGCTCATTAGGCAGCACCAGTGAATGAGATCTTCGGTTACAATACAGATAAGGAAATATTCTGTTATACCATTTTTTAAATAAATTTTAAAAACTCAGAACTTACTTTATCTCCAGCCAGAATCCTAAAGGAAGCCACAACTTGTTCCGCTGTATCTGTGTCAGCGGTCTCTCGGGTCATGAAGGAGATGAAAGACTGGAATGACACCAGGCCAGTATTGTTTGGATCAACTAGATTCATGATCCGAGCAAACTCAGCCTCACCCTGTAGAAGGAAATGTGCAAGTATGAAAGCTTAAATTGGAAAATCAAAGAGAGTCCAATACTGTAAGGAAATATAGCAAAGCCTTGATCTCTTTTCTTAGATAATCTTTCACTAAGATGTAGCAACATTCCAATATGGGAGCAACTTCAGATGCATTATTTGATCAATGTTCAAAGCAATGAAAATTGTTCAGATTATCCATGCCACCTGATATTTTAGGTAGACCCCACATTACAATGATAACTTACAGTAAATGATGCCAGTAATAATCACATGAGAATTCCTCATTACAGAGATAGTGCCTGATATTATTACATAAAATGTGAGCATTTAGGTTTTGCCAGAGTTGATAGGAAATAAACTGTACTATTAGAAGGTTTAGTAAACAAATTGGAAATATTTGTGAGAAAAGTTGAAGTCCAGGGGCGTGGGTGGAGAAGAATTATTTATCATCTGGATTACATCACCTGAAAGGGTGATTGAAATGGAGTCACCAATAACTTTCGAAGGGATTTGGATCTTTTCTTAAGAAGGGAATGATTTGCACAATCAGGGAAAAAGTGCAGAGGAGAATGTTGGGATTGTAGCTCTTTCAGAGAGCTAACATACAGAATAACCTTTGCCTGTGTGGTACCACGTTATGGCTGTCAACTGTTAGTTTACTGCAATCTTGGGCTAAGGTCACCAGTACATTATTGAATGTACTAGTACAGATCATTAATACAAGATGAATGGTAATCTCAGATTTATTAAACATGCATCTGTCATACCAAATCAAAGCCCATGGAGATGAGGCAAGCTCTGAGATCATCTGGCTCCATCGCCCCATTCTTCTTCTATTGAGCAGATCAGCAAATAAAAGGAACAGATGAAAAATTGTGGGGATTCCAGGAAGTAGATCAGTAGTAGACAGCCCACAGATCCCGTGGCCAGAGTCAAAAGGATCATTTAAAGTCCCAAAGAATCGGTCATTCCAAATAGGCAGATGGAATGCAGGCAGAAAGCAGCATCGTTGTTGAAAATGGGGAGGAAACAACTAACACAGGTAAAATCAGACAAACAGGAAGGAGACGACCATGGGTCAAATATGAAGCAAAGGAGGAAACAAAAATTGACAGACCAAAAAAATGGACACATGACCACATTGTAAATTTGAAAAGGGAAAAGAAAATAAAGATAAGTTTAGCACAGTTTTACTTGTATAGAGAAAATAAATATAGCACAGTCCAGTTAGTACCTGTTTATCATTTCCAATATGTCCAAGGCTGATGAGGCAGGCTTTGAAATCCTTTGGTTGCAGTTTGCCAGAAACATCCTAATATCGCACAGAAGTTAGTTGCAGCATGCAATATACATACACAATGTGCACAATATGTATTGTTAATTACAACATACACGATAGCAAGCAAGATTAAAATGGCAAATCATTCACTTAGTGTTAATGAGGACTCAATACTTATTAATCATCATTTATACCAAGCATATTAAAACTTGTAAATGAAATACCTATAAATTGGATATAGTGTAGTCTATGTCCTACCTAGTGTAAATATAGTTTATTTTGAGTAAATATAAATCATCTAGATTAAAATGTGCTGCATTTTATGTAATAAAGCACAAGTACAAGAGTTATTGCACTAGTACATTGCCAATTAAAATCATTTTAATGAAAGCTGACAGCATATATGTACTTTGTATGTTTCTTCGATTTAAAAAAAATTCTGGATTCACAGTCCTCAAAAATCCCAGGATTGGAAAGGGTGAGAAGCTTGATTTCTGGATAGGAGTTTCCCAGGATTCCACTCCGTTTATCCTGGCGTTTTAAATTCCAGTATTTTGGATACTGATCACAAACCACTTAAGAAATTATGAATACCTAAAAGAGCTGCCGTGAACGTAGGATCAGACCCTTGAGCCTGTTCTGCCATCATTATCATGACCATGTGCCCAATTATGATTGAACTCCACATGCACCTACTTTTGTTCCATATCCCTTAATACTTTTGGTCAACAAAAATGATCAACCTCAGATTTAAAATTAACAATCGGCCTAGAATTAACTAGCGATTCTTGGATGAGATTTTCAAACTTCTACCACCCTTTGCAAGTAAAGGTGTTTTCTAACTTAACCTCATGGCTCCATTCCTAAAATTATGTCTCCCTAGATTCCCCAACTGACAGAGATGATTTCTACCTGCTGTACCAATACCCCACGATATTTTGAAAACTTTCATCAAATTGCTCCTTTATTTTCTAAATACTAGAGAATTCAACCCCAGTTTGTGTAATCTCTCCTTGTGGTTTAATATCACTTTCGCCAGCTGAAATCTGGTGCATGTCTCTGAAGTAATTTGAAAGGGTTGAAACCGTCAATATTATCAGGTAATTAATATAGGAGGGGTTCAATTACCTATCTGAAATCATAAAGGTTTGTTTTCAAACTAATGACTAAAAAGCTAATTTTGTTTTTTTTACTTTGCTGAGCTTTTCAGAACGTTAGGTTGAGCAGCTTTGATTTACTGTCACATATGAACTCAGGTTGGGCACTGGACATGCAAATACCACCCCACATCTCTCGATTTGGATGGAAATTCTGGCCTGGGGTGCTGCTGGGAGCAATCAGTTGCAACTGAGCCAGTGCAGTGGACCCTCTCCCTATTTAAGGAATTTAGAGGCATTTTGGAATTTTAAGGCACTGCAAGAGGTCATTGAGTGAAGTATACCTCTGCTGGCTCTTGCAATTAGCAATGTTTAGTTCCATTTTCCTGCTGTTTCCCTGCATAGTCTCATTTATATTTTATTTTTAAAACATAGACCATGCTTTCTCAGAAGCAGGTTTAAAAGAAAACCAAGAAAACTAAGTAAGCTGCATCAATTTAGCATACCTTCGAAGCAGAATGTTAGTACATTAATGGCATTTCAATCGAGAAGGCACCGTGCTATTAATAGGAAAACTGTTTAATTCAGGAATAAATCAGAATAAACTGGTACATGAATTTCAAATTTATAATTATTTATCTTGAGGTATTAGGTGCTTTCGCCGTGCACACTTACAGCAAATTCTAACATAATTTCAAACCATTTCACAGCTAGAAATGACCAAGTAAGCATAGCTAACCATATGAATAGGAAAGAGGTAATTTAGACACTTGGTATGAATTAAGTCAGACTGTATCCATGGCTCTTAAAAGCAACTGGAGGCTGGCAAATACTATAACTTGATTTTTCCAACTGTCATTTTAAAAGTATTAACACAGATTAGGCTTTAAAATGCTGCAGCAGATTCTGCCGATTCTCTTTTACTGAGTAGTCAGTATAGAAAATGTTCACAATTAATTTTAAAATGATGATGTTGATTAACTGTAAATATGAAAAGGAGGTCTCAGCACTCTGATGGCTAATCAGATGCACCACCTGACTGAAAACATCAGACTAGTCAATTAGGTTACACTAAAGACAATATTAGGTGAATTTTCACTTGGTTCTCCTGCTTGTCTCGCATTACTTTAGTGATGGAGCAGCAGGATACCCTGGCTGAAACATTGTTTCATGGGCAGCAAAAGTGACAGATGTGTCATCATAAAATGTGAATGTTTATTTCTAAAAGATGTTTAACATATTTATATGAAATCACACTAAAAAGAACACTGTACCCTGTCAAAATGGCTGAATGAAGACCGGAATTCATTCATCTGTTGTTGAGTGATTCCTTTAGCATCTCTAGTTAAAATCTGGGTCTCAATTTCATTCATGGACCTGGCAATTGTAGTAAGAAGCATCTCCCAGCCAACGCGAATGTGCTACCAAAATGAGTTTAAAAAAAAAAAGAAACAAGTCAAAAAGGTTCTACAGTAATACAAGAGGATATAAATACGTCTCACTGAATATAAGACTCAAATCGCCTAGGAGTACTTTTTCAGGTCACAAGGGTACAAAATCCAGGACTTTTAAATATTGAGATTACATTTTGTGCCATGTTTCACGAAGTTCACAAATAAGATTTTTTTTTAAAACAACAAGGAACAAGTTTGCCTTTGAATCAAGTAGAATGTAAAGATTGTGTTAGATAAAAAAACAGAACAGAACAGCACAGCACAGGAACAGGTCTTTTGGCCTGTCACGTCTGTGCTGACCACGGCGCCATTCTAAATTAGTCCCATCTGTCCAGATGTGGTCCTTATCTGTATGTATCCTGCCTGTTGATGTATGTCTAAATACCTCTTAAGCTTTGCTGTCTGCTTCTACCACATCCCCTGGCAGCATGATCCAGTGCCTACTCCCTCTGTACAAAAAAAATTACCTCGCACAACTCCTTTAAACTCCCTCTCTCACCTTAAATTTATACCCCCTAGTATTTGACACTTCCATCCTGGGAAAAAGACTCCAACTATTCACCCTATCCATGCCTCTCATAGTTTTGTATCCTTCCATCAGCTTTTCACTCACTCTCCAATGCTCTAATGAAAACAATCCAAGTTTGTCCAACCTCCATATTTAGCCAATAAACTCCAATCCAGGCAACATCCTGGTAAATCACTTTTGTACCTTCTCCAAAACCTTGACATCCTATAGAGTGGTGACCAGAACTTCATGTAATTCACTAAATGTGACCTAACTAAAATTGTATACAACTGCAATATGACTTGCCAACTTTTATACTAAATCCCGACCGATGAAGGCAAGCACAGTGGGCGTCTTCTTTACCAACTTATCCACTTGCGTTGCCACTTTCAGGGAGCTATGGACTCGAATCCTAAGATCCCTTTGTATATCAATGCTCATCAGGGCCTTGCCATTTACTGTATGCTTTCCCCTTGAAGCTGACCTCCCAAAATGCATCACCTCACACTTGTCTGGATTAAACTCCATTTGCCAGTTCTCAGCCCAACTTTCCAAATGATCTTGCTGTATCCTTTGACATCCTTCTTCCTAATGCACAACTCCACTAATTTTCACATCGTCTGAAAACTTACTAATCAGCCCACCTACATTTTCAGCTTCGATCCTTATGGAACACCACTGGTCACACATCTTCAGCCAGAAAAACACTCTTCTCAACTACCCTCTGTCTTCTATGACCAGCCAATTTTGTATTCAATTTACCAAACCACCGTGGATCTCCGTGTGACTCAATCTTCTGAATCAGCCTACCAGAAGGGACCTTGTCAGATGTTTTAGTGAAGTCCATGTAGACAACATCCCACTGTCCTTCCCTCAATCATTTTTGTCACTTCCTCAAAAAAACTCAAATTCGTGAGACCTCCCCCTGCACAAAGCCATGCTGACTATCCCTAATAAGTCCAAATGAGAGTAAATCCTGTCCCCAAGAATCTTCTGTAATACTTTCCCCACCACTGATATAAGGCTCACCAGCCTATTATTTCCTGGATTATCCCTGTTGCCTTTCTTAAACAAAAGGAACAACGTTGGCTATTCTCCAGTCTTCTGGGACCTTGCCTGTGGCTAAAGAGGATACAAAGATCTCTGTCAAAGCCCTAGCAATCTCCTCCCTTCCTCCTTCAGTATCCTGGGTTAGATTCCATCAGGCCCTAGGGACCTATCTACCTTAATGTTTTTCAAGACACCCAAAACCACCTCCTCCTTAATAGTTACATGTCCTAGAATATTAACATATCCTCCCTCATTTTATCATCATCCATGTCCCTTTCCTCTTTGAATACTGATGCGAACTACTCAGTAAGTATCTCACCCACTTCCTCTGGCTCCACACATAAATCACCTTTGTCTTTCAGTGGATCTACCCTTTCCCTAGCTATCTTCTTGTTTCTAACACAAGTATAAAATGCCTTGGGATTCTCCTTAATCCTTCTTGCCATGGGACATTTCATGGCCCCTCTTGGCCCTCCTAATTCCTTGTTTAATTTCTTTAATATCTTTAATACCATTTTTATGCTTATTAGTGAAGATCTATCATGCACATTCTTCTCCTCAGAAATACAGGACCTGATGTTAAATCATGATCAGTACTATCAGTTTCTTTAATAAGTGATTGTATTTAAGCACCAAAATAATTAAATTGTTCAAAAAAAAAGTCTACGGATAGACTAAGCATTGTACAGAATATTGAAAGCTCCCACTTAAACTATTTCCAAGGAAGAAAATGGTATACATGCTTTTTAGAAGTTGTGTTCCATTATACTGAGAGATGCCCCCATATTTTTGCTCTATTGTCCTTCTGCTTCATGCCCACCTAATTTACAGGATTGTTAGAGCTCAGAGTGCAGTCCTCTGCTAGTTTCTGGCTGTTGAAAGACTTAATTGTCATTTGGGTATGGCTCACCTTTGGATCACAGCGAACATAACATACATTATGAATGAATGAGCTACAAACAAAACCACACAAAAACAGCACAACCTTCAAAATAACATTCACTGAGTACCTCCATCGTATAATTGGTGTGCTTGTTGTCAAAGATTAGGGCCTCTTGAATAAGTTGATGATCTCCTTCCAGTTTGTCAACGTTGGGTTTATAGTTAATGATGACCTCCTCCAACTGTTTCAATTGATTCATCTGATCTTCCAGGGTTCCACTCATTTCAATAGAATTTTGAGCTATTTCCTGTATTTAAATACTATGAATTACAATAATATTCAAAGACCAGTAAGAGATTTTTCAGGATGGTTTTTCATTGGAACTTTTAATCCTAATTCAAGTACTAGCTACCACTCAATTTAAAGTTGTAAATCCAGCCAACATAGATTTGGAAGGTAATCCTGATGATTAAATAAATGTTGAAATGGGGCTAGCTGTTGCAGGATCCCAAGTACACCCTGGCAGCATACCTCAATAATAGTTTGAAATTTCTTCGCTATCTTATATTAATCCCTACCTTAATTACTGTATGTAGTAGAGTTCTCAGTGTGTTCATGAAGAGATCCATTCTCAACTGATTCATATGTGCATTTACCTATCTTAATTGATTCCCACGGTGGTCTCAATGGAAGGCTTGCCTGAGTGAATAGTGTGTAAATTTCCAGCTATCCAGTGGATCTGAGGGTGATGGTAGTCGAACAATAAATATATCAAATCATTTTGGGGCCATAATAATAAAAAAACTTTAATTATATCACTAAGTCCTTGGAATGGATGAATCAAGCTGAGCCATGTTGCCTTTCTTATTTGTTTATATCTAATGAACGTGCAAATGCTGTACATGAATGACAGTGTAAACTTCTAAAGAAGGATGACCTTATGTTTTTTTTAAACAGAGAAAAGGAAAAGCCCAAGCAGAACGGAGAGAAGCTTGTTGTTTGGTTTGATATAGATCTATTGCTTTATCCCTGGGATATTTTTCTACATTTAAGATGTTAAACAAATGTAAGTTACAGTTGTTGAACATGAAACATCGGTTGCTTTAGAAGCTAAAAGAAACACCTATAGTACTCAACTGAATTTTAACGACTGTTTAGAATTCTCAACTTACCTCCATCTTACGCTGGATCCAAGGTCCAATGACATTTGCCTGGCTGGCAAACTGGCGACGCAGACGTTCATTACCATGTTGCCGTACAAGCTCCTCTTGCAGGGCTGCATCTCTCTGAGGAACCAATTGCTTCACCTGCCATTAAAAACAAATTAATTTTAATTCAACATTCAGCCAATTAATCTAATTAAAATTGTCTTCATCAGATGCTTGCATTCTCAAATATTGTTTGTCATTGAAGATGGCAGAGGAGAACAACGGGAATTTATATCTGTTGCAGGTGTGATGTCAGTATTAAATCTAAACTAATTAAAGGTTGAAGACATAGGGTTTTGGTTTAATCAACAACAACCAAAGAACAGGATAGTGATGATAAATCAGTTCATGCACTATACTATTCTATAATAGTAAGGCATTATGGATGTAGAACAAGTGAGCAGTCATGAATTCTCTATGTCAACCTTATTCCCTGTACTAAGAGCAAATAAGTATCATAACTCTATTGAAGCTCACAAGGAGAAAATTGTTGCAAATCTGAAATAAAACTAGAAGGTGTTAAAAATACATAGCAAATCTGTCAGAAAACAAAAACAAAGTAGTCTAGGTTTGTCTAGACCACTATGAGAACAGAAAATCTGAGCAATGAGTCTTAGCAAAGATTCTACTACCAAATTATTAACATATCTTCTCTCCTTTCAGTTGATGATGAAATTGCTATACATTTCCTGCACTTTCTAATCTTACTCAAGACTCGAACCATTTCTGATTGATTACTTTATTAGCATATTCTGTTTGGTGATACCTTGTCCCATTTTGCACTGATCTCTTCACGTGATATCATGCTATAAGGATTTGACACAGTGGATGAGATGTTATAGGTCTGAGTAATCTTCTGTACTTCATTCAGGATTCCCAGGATGGCTTGCTTCTCGCTGTCTGCTTCTGGCAAGGTAGCTTTAAACTGTTCGTGTGCTGCTATTAGACTCTAAAGATTAAGAGGAATGGCTCAAAAAAGCATTACACTTCGAGTACAAAGCATTTTTTAAAAAAGTATAACTGGCATTATCCAGAAAATTGCAAATACAATAAATGATATTTATTTTCTCTTGTTTTAGTATGCTTCCCATAACTGGGTTTTCTTTTTGTAAAGGAAACAGGATCATCATTGAGAAATGTTACTGCAATTTTGTAGCTTAATGGCAAGCAAAACACAAGCATGAATATTCCAATATTGCTAAACTGTTAATAATGGTTAGCATTGGTAGTCTTTAATTTTCAGGATAAACAATTACAAATGATTAATTTTCTTGAAACACTGATGCTGGTTACCTTGTCTATTTTTATCGTTCTTTCATAGATTTGCATCAAAGCCCAGAAATATCCTCAGAAAAAAATGCCCCAAGAGGCCATACAAGTTTAATATTAAATGTTTTACTTTATGTTTTTAATTCTTACAACAGGAGACATGAAAGATGGATTCAAAAGATGGGTTCAAATATTCAGTGAATTATTTTCATGAGTTCTTTTACGTGAAAATATATTTTTATGTTTATACAGCTCTGGTGCAGTTAGTAATTCCATGAGTCTGATTTTGTGCAAGCATCTAAACTCTCACCACTGGAGCTGAAGGTAGGAGATGACACTGCTTTGGTAAGTGAGGCATTTATAAGTAAAAAATGCAGTCCCAATTAAATAGTCTGCCTCTCAGAAGTGCTGGGGCAATTAGAGGGCAGCTGCTCAGCAATGCCACTGCTAAGGGTGGCCATTGCCAGATTGCAGGTACAAGAAGAGGATGCCATAATGGTTGGGTGCCATTGCTGATGGCCTGGGGGACACTGGGTTCATGCAGGAAGGCCCAGCAATTGGCGGGGGCAGCTGTGGGGGTGGGTTATGAACCAAATGTACCACTGTTGACACAGATGTGGGCCATGGAGTGCCCAAAAATGGAGGCCCAATTGCCCCTCCCACTCAGTTCATCAGTTTCATTGACGGTCTCCAGAAACAGCATCTCATATCACTCCCCCCAACACACAAAACTCTGGCAAATTGATCACAGAGGCAGGATTTGGCCACTTAAGTAGTTCATAATTGGGTGCCCAGCACATAGTGATTTGACAGCTTCCCACTGCTGTCATTTTATTAGTCTCCCACCTTAAAGCCTGTCACCAAAGTGCAGTTAAATTTCAGTGAAATGATTGAATTGTCACACTTAAACAATATCAACATCATTTATCTGCTCCATTGCTGTCCAGTATTCTGTTCCAGTAAACATACTGCACCTGGATTTCTTCAATACTGTGAACAATAAACATGTCTTGAAGATCTTCCATTGCTCCTTCCATCCAGTTGTTAAACGGGGCAGCTCGTTTAGCAAACTCCAAGAAGAGTTGATCGATGGTTTCTTGTAATTTCTCGGCTCTCTGTAGTTTAATAATTGCAAAGACCAAGAATATTTACTGCAACATCATGAAAAGATTGTAAAGTTTCAGAATCATTAGTTGGGGAAGTACATTCTTCTAAAAGCATGGACTGACAACTTTGGTAGCACTGTGCTGAAGCTTCACAGAGTGCATTTTATACTATCATTAAGTTCTGGTCTCGATACTGCTAAGGTATAGAAAGGGAGAAAAGAGGTAATGAGTACAATTGAATAGAGTACATGCCAAGGCCATGTCCCCTCCTTACTTCTCTGTCATAGTAGCAGCAATGACTGAAACAAGTCATAAATGAGTGTAAAACAACTGACAAATAAACCTTAACCTTAAAAGCAAAGCTGAAATGCTAAACTAATGTTGAATAAAATAGAATGTTTGAAAAGAACCCCTTCGGCCCAACAAGTCCACACTGACCCTCAGAGCATCCCACCCGACCATCCCCCTATAACGCACCTAATCTAGACATCCCTGAACACTACGTGCAATTTAGCATGGCCAATCCACCTAACCTGCACATCTTTGAACTGTGGGAGGAAACCAGAGCACCCGGAGGAAACCCACGCAGACACAGGGAGAATGTGCAAACTCCACACAGACAGTCGCCAGAGTCTGGAATCGAACCCGGGTCCCTGGCAGCAGTGCTAACCACTGAGCCATCGTGCTGCCCCCGTTGTTTTCTTTGCTCTGAACTAAATATATACATCATTGGTTCTGCGCATGGAAAGCTTACATTTCAAAAGTACAAAAGATACTTGGTGAGTCACCATATACATAAAGCTGGAGGATATAGTTTTATTGCTGTAACAGAGCCACTGTGTGGCGAGTATGGGCAATTGCACAGATGCAATACCAACTTTTTGAGCTTCATACTTCACAGAATTTCTTATACCAAGATACTAACTTACTGAAAATACACCGTCCATTCGGATAATAAAAGGCCCTCAAAATGATTATTTTTCACCATGTCTTCAGAATCCCTAGGCTACACAGATTAAAATATCAAGCTGGATGCCTTATTACCCACTGATCAAAACTGGATTAATTAATTCAAAACAAAAATGAACATCATTATGCAGTTTTTTTTTTGTCATTAATGTATTTAAGTCTTAACTCAGTCGATTAAGGGGGAAGTGGTATGTTGGACCAAATCACAACAATTTGGAAATGGCAGAGGGTTATGGCTCTCTCATGAAGTAATGAGGATTGAGAAGGATAAAAACTAGTGGTCATTAATTCAGCAGTATGATTTTGATGTTTTTTCTGCTATGAGTCTCCAACGAAGCCAGATTCAAAGCTGTCCGCTACTAGATATATTTGAATTATTTCAATTACATTATGACACAAAGATAGCAAGACAAACAGAATCAGCTTGTCACTGTATTTGCAACACAGTGAAATTTAAAAAATTCAATAACCCTCAAAATGGCTCAGTTGTTCCTAACCAGACTTTACGAATAACAGATCTTCGACAACAAGTTCATGGTCTAAACAAAAATTAACTATATTATTCATACTGTAACTTTAGCTGGACAAAGCTAAACAAGGTAATGTAATGAACTGCTAAGATTTAAAGAGGTGGTGATGGCCTAGAGGTATTATCACTGGACTGTTAATCCAGAGACCCAAGTAGTGTTTCAGGATCTGGGTTCCAATCCTGCCATGGCAGATGGTGGAATTTGAATTCAATATAAGTCTGGAATTATGAATGATGACCATGAATTGTTGGAAAAACCCATCTGGTTCACTAATGTCCTTCAGGGAAGGATACTGCCATCCTTACCTAGTCTGGCCGACATGTAACTCCAGACTCACAGCAATGTGGTTGACAACTTAACTGCCCTCTGGGCAATTAGGGATGGGCAATAAATGCTGTCCTAGCCAGAGATGCCCACATCCCGTGAATGAATTTAAAAAAATAAACCCAATCTTCTTGGAACATAACTTCGACTCTCATATAGACAGACAGATACACACAATTAAGTGATGAATCAGAAAGAAAATGCAAAGAATTGTAATTTGCCAGTTCAGTTAAATGCTTTGAAACAATGGATACCAAGTCTTCCTTGCAATTCTTGAGTATGAATTGTTCACAGGGACAATAGCGCATCTAAATTCAAATTCACTGGGGAATGCGAACAATTTTAGTAGACTGCAGATTTATTTATTTCTTATAGACTGGGTTTCTTTTTTCAGAACATCAACAATTCTTTAAATGGACAGAATACTAGAGAGAGAGAAAAACAGTAGCTGGTCCCAAAGCTTCCAAAATTACTCTGCAGCTGCTAAAACAAATTTTCTCCCTCTTCCTTTTTAAAATCAATATTCTGTGTTATTGGCTGCTTAGTGTTAGTCCTCCCTTGAAATGACCAACCCAACATCCAAACAGCTGCCAGCCCCAGGCATGGCAACACATGATGTTAATCACGCAGAGTATTTCTTAGATCATTAACTAAGTTTCATTTGTCTTCCAGGCCAGTCACCAACAGCAAACATCTGCATTTGTCTTCTTCACTTTTAAAACATGGAACTGTTTAAAGTTCAATTAACCCTAACCTCAACTCTCAGCTCCACTAAATAAAGGAGAAAAATAAAAGAAAATAGTGAGTTCAGTCTAAGAACTATACAAACTAAATTTAATGTTGATCGTTCTACTGTTTTTTCAAAGATGTTGCAATATTATAAGAGCATAGTGCTGGTTTATTGTCTATCTTTTCACTTCCCTGTAGTGAAGTGCTTAGTGCTGCATTGGACAGCGTTTAAAAATTAAACTTACCATCCGGCAAATTTGGTAAGCACATGGCGCCCAAATAGTACACCAGTAGATAATGTAGTCAAAACAAAAATTGTGAAAAATTGTTATCAAATCAGTACGTTCACAAGTAAATGCAGTTTATAGATCTCTAAACCACTTTTACTAAGATAACCAGCATGAGAAGCAGACACATTCAAGTTTCATGAAAGCTTCCAAATTCTAACTTAAATTTTACTGAGATGGTTGATTTCTCTTTTGTTGGGTTCACTGCTAAAAAGTGAGCACATACTGGATCAAAGATAACAAGGTATAGAGCTGGATGAACACAGCCATTGCACTCC